GACATACTTGTTTAAATATTTTTATTTTTACATTTTTTCTTTTATCTTTTTCATAAAAGTATTTGGAATGTAAAATCTTTAAAAGTCGTTACCCCTTAGGAAAAAAGACCTGATACTGCTGACTGGTGTGCCACTGTTAGTGAAAAGTTGGAAAGCGGTATGTAGAATACATAATATATAGTTATTTAATTTATAACTGTGCGCAACGACAAGCTATTGCTAACGAAAAACCATTCTGAGGTAAGTTCGGCTAACCATGTTCTCAAATGCCGTGATTTATAATTGTCCTCAAAATTCGAACTGAAAACGGTAATAAAAAAAAAACTACTACTTAACGCTATTTGTTTATTATACCATTAAGCACAACCTATGATACAGTTTGTAAGTAGGTTTTGTAATATTTTTAGACATTTCTGATCAGCCAGAACAATATTACCTGCGTAAAACCAAATGAAATCTAATAAAACTCAAATATTTCAAATGCCTATAAATAGCTCAGGGATCAACAAAATATATTTAAAATTTTACCGTTCTCTATAATTATTTAACCAAATCACAGTAAAATAAAAAATGAAACCGTTAATGCTGGAAACTATCCTATTTTTTAAGTTTTTTTTTTTTTTTTGACAAATAATTAAATAATTAAGAAAACTACAAGGAAAATTAAAAAATGCCTTCCCAATACACCAATTACAATAGATAAAATACAATTTACTTTAAGAAAAGATGCTACACTTAAAAAGTCAGAACAAGATTTCTGGTACAGAAAAAATAATTAACAGACACAAAAAATAAACAAAATACAAATTATAATAAAACCAGTACATTTTTTGTCACGCTCAGAATCTAAAAAATAATTACAATATCAGATTGACCATACTCAGATTTCCACTTGCCATCGTCTTGAAAACCGTTACCGCACGTCGCGCCATATTATATTTTCTGTTCATAGTTGGACCGTACGGTGGACCACTGGAATTGGACTGGAAGCAGTTCGCACACGTTCGGCCCGTCTCCTCCTGACATAAAATACGTTAAAACATACATTTCACTGCCCCTCCCCTTTTTGGATTTTAAGTTTTTCGTCCTTTAACACAATAGTATGATTGTTTGGATTCTACACGGTATCAACTATTTCAGAATTTGTTTGGCCATACCGTGCCTGCATAATAGTATAGAATTATACTTCTACCAAAACCCGTGTACAATATATTCGAATTAGGTTTATACCGAATCCCTCTCCCTAGAATAAAAAAAAAAAAAAAAACCAAATCAGAAAATGTTCTTACAGCATAGTGAAGTATTAAAAGACGAACTTACTTCGCACAATGGGTGCAACCACTGTTGTTGGTGAAGTTAGGAAAGTAAGATATTGAAGGGAGGAATTAATTTGTACATATCTTTTAGCCACGATAAACAATTGCTCATTTAAAACGATTTTGAGTGGACCTCAGTTGATAGTGATGCTTTGTCAACAATATATACGTCATGTGTCATACAGTAAAATAATTAAATATATTTCCTTTAATAATATTTGTTTAATATTGTACCGATTTTCTCGTTTCTCTACGTTTTTCCCGGTTTTTAACATTTTCTGGGAAATCTCCTGGGAAAATCAAAAAATGACTTATTTAAAGTACCACCCCAAGAAAATTTCCTTTAGAAAAAGGTCTATATTGTATACATCGGAGTAAGTTTTCTGGTAGAAAAAGTGTTCACATGAAAAAAAAAGAAAAAAAGAAATAAACATCTTTGTAAAACCAATACATTTTTCGCTACATTCAGAATTTAAAATTATACGTGAAGTCGTGTCGCTGTGCTACGTACAATTATTATAGAAATGGCTTATCAGTTACTTTATTATCTATGCCAGAACTAAAATATGGCAATTGTACGTATACATTTGACAACACTGCTATAAAAATGACCGATTATTAGTATCAATATTATGATCGCTAGAATATTTTTAAAATTTTACAGCATCTAGAAAAAGCCAATTTTAGTTAAACGAGATCACAACAAAAGAACAAAATAATTAAACCGTTTTGCCATGCCGTAAACTTTTCTGTTTTTCCTATAATGATAACTGCTTGGAAATTAAAAACAAAAATAACAAGCCAACCAGATCCAAAATCCTACGAAAAATCAGTCTTTTCATTTTTTTGATTAGAACAAGATTTCTGGTACAAAAGTTGTCCGCAGACAAAAAAATATTAAAAATAATCACCATCACAGTAAATCAATTTCAATACAAAAGTAGTTAAATTAAGTGTGTATAATGTGTTTCAAACAAACGGACCGCCGAGATTTCGTTAAATTTACTCCAACTTTAAATTAGCTTCAGATCCGCTACGCGGTTATAATCACTCTCGCTATAGTTGCCGTAAAAAAAACGATACTTCACACGATGAATATGTGAGAAGTCAGGAAGGTAGACTATAGAGGGGAATTTAATGTATATCTGTACGCAACGATTAATCTTTGCTAATGAAAAACTATTCTGAGTGGAGTTCGGTTGTACATGTTTTAATAGGTCGTAATATTTATGAATGGCAAATAATACGTTTGATACATTTTCCTGTACTTCCACCTTTTTTCACCCGTTTGTCAGGATAACTCCTGGGAAAATCAAAAAATAACCGCATTTAAATGACAGAGTAATAATACTATTATTTAAACGTATCGATTGGCCACGGAGATCTGTCGCAGATCCGTGGCCCTTTACGGACGTGCGTGTTCAGTAGCGGATTTTCAACATTTTTCCGGGGAGAGGCCTGAAAAAATCATAATAGTGTTTTACATTTATCCTTATTAACGGATACGTCTTTTTTTTTAGACGGCATTTCATTTCAAAAACGATATGGGCGACCTGGGGCCAACTTTGAATTGAAATATTATTGTCGCGATAAAATTATTAGCGCCGCAATCGCGGCATGAGGTAATAGGTAAATATTTCGAATTTATTATTATCGAAAATACAAAAACTATTGACGATAACAATAGGTAATCAACGATTAGACAGATGTCCAAGAGAATTTTTCTGGCGATTTTCATAATCCGTGTCGCGTACGGTTTTACAGTTTAGTACGGGGACAATTCAAGAGAATTAGTGTAATCTCTGTACGAGTCATTTAACGTGAGCTATTATAGTGTGATGGATTCGCGTGTAGGTGTACTTCCCAGAGTGGGCATAACCCCGTTTTCGGTAAAAATCGTACAATTCCCTTTTCGGCCTATTCACCTCACACGTAAGTACTGTTGATAAATCTTTTTGATGTGCGTAGATTAGACTGTCGTTTTGAATATGCGAGAACATGTTCATGTGCTTGTGACGCGCCCAGCGACTCGAGTACGATACCGGTGGAAAAGGGTGTCCTACCCTGCAAGCGACGCACGTCGCGGGGTGGACACGAACAACAGAAAACGGGGAGCCGGCGAAATGGGTAGCGGGCGACGCGCGGGAACGAGCGCCGCGGCCGCGGGCGTTGTTGCGGCCCCGAAAACGCGACACGACGCGCGGGGTATCACGACGTAACGCGCGTTGATAATATCGTTGCGCGTATAATGCCCAGGCGTCATTATGATAATATTTCGCGTGTCGTATAATATCGTACTACACGGTTTTGTGTATACCGGTACGCGGGCGATGTGTGATCGGCGGCGTGATGGTGCGTTTCGTGAAAAAAAAAAAAAAAAAAAAAAACGAGAGCGAATATTATATATTATTGTATTATCGTTATTATTATCGTCGTTACACTCGCGGGGAGGGTGGGGGCGGGGGAGAAGATGAGAAGAAAAATAAAAATAAAAAAACGTGCGCCAAACGGTCACACGCATCGCGCACGCACGAACAATAATACAATTTATTACCGGTCCGACGCGGCGGCGTAATACAATATTAATATTGTTATTATCATCACGACGGGTGTCGGTCGTCCGAATAACGCGAAATTAATATAATGGCGTAACGCGTTATTGAAGACGCGTACGGACGGACGGAGCGGAGAAGAGGAGGGAAAAAAACAAAACCGCCGGATCGTCCGCGCAACGGCGGCCGTCCGTGATCGAAACGACACGACCGCCGCGCGTACGCGTTGTCATTGTAAATGCGCGTCGTATTCATCGCCTCGCCCGCCGCCGCCGCCGCCGCCGCTTTTGCCGTCGCGATTGTGGAACACGGCTGTTGAACGGGCGGTACGCCGTAACGCGCGCGGCGCCCGGCACCCGGCGCGGGTACCGGCGGGTCTCGTTGTCTATCGCCGTACAACGCGACCGCGGCGGACGGGACGGGCGTCGTTGCGCAATACCGTTTCGTTTTGTTTTCCATCAACCGCGGTCCGTTTCGGGCAGGCGGCGGGCACGACGACCCGCGGCCGCGAGCCGTCTCTCGGACGTATCGGACGCGTCGTCGCCCGCGCGCCGGCATTGTGCGTCGCCCGCGATGGTAACCGCGATATTGCATATTATACCGTTATTGTTGTTGTTACACGTATTATACGTCAATCTCGGCCGTTATTCCCACACGCGTGCAGCCGGGGAACACGTACCCTGCGAACCCGCGTGCCGCGTTACGTTATTATTATTATTATTATTGTATAATATTGTACGCACGCGCACGGCCGCGAGACACGGACAAACCAGACCGCGCGGCGGGTTGCGACGACCGGGACGACGATGGTACACGACGGGTCGTCCTTGTCGTCCGATTACGATATTGTTGTATTATCGTTAACGACATGGCCGTGTCGCAGCCACCCGCGCATTGTTAATAATAGATTATCGCGTAACACGCGCTCGTTCGCCGGGCCGGCCGGACGAGCTCCTCCGCCGCCGCGACGCGTCACGATCGCCGCGGTCCGCGCCGTCTCGTCCCGGCGGGAAACGCCGGCGCGTGTGCGCGGCGGCGCGGTGGAACGGACCCGTCCGCGGAGGGGCGCGAAAGACGCGAAAGACGCGCCGCGGTCGCGTTGCCCAACGCGCGACCACGTCCCGGCCGGAGTATATATACTCGCGGGCCGCACCCCGAAACCGCATCATTCGGTCCGCCGTCGAACCAGCAGCACAGCAGCGCCTACCGCAACAGGAGTACCGTGTCTGCCGAGTCGTCCGTGTCCCCGTGTCTATCCGCTACGAGTTACAGACACTTGCACGACCGAACGACAGCGCCGCACTCGTGTTCGAACGCCGCAGCCGCGAACAAAAGTCAAAAGCGCGAGCAGCAGCTACCGATACCGACTACGTTCCCGAACGCTCGACACCAGCCGCGATCCGTCAACATGAACGTAAGTACCCGTACGGTTTTTTAAATCGCTCAAAGGCCTTTAATTTCATTTCGTTTTTCTACACGCGCACCGCGCATTCCAATAGACCGTTATTCCGAATCCGGACCGCGCGGTTTTACCAAGTGTATAACCTAATCATTTAACACGGCGTTTGTGTGTTGCGGACGACGAACATTGTAAACACTACCCACGTCTTTGAAATCCATCGTAATGCTGGCCGTCTCCGAGCCAAAAGAAAATCTCAGTACATGTTATATATTTTTATTTTTTCATTCGGTTCGTTGTTTTTCTCGTTTCGTCCGTATCACCAACAGGTAACCCCAACAAAATTATTTATTCCATTTTCGCTCCTCTAATAAATACCGATAAGACCGCGTCATCTCTCCTAAAATGGGGTTGAGTTAAGCAGCGAGGAAAAGTACACTACGCATAATATTATTCCTGGGCTAGAACTACATCTAAGCAAAGTTTCAGCTCAATCCGTTCTGCAGTAGTTTTGTCGTAAAGGGACAACGTACATCCGTCCGTCCAAACAACCTCTCCCGTTTATGATATTAAATACATCGTTTTTTTCATAATCGCATCATGTTATCGTTTACCAGTGGCTCAACCAGGACGTTTCTTTGCGGTGGAGTGATACGAATATTTATATCAAAAAACAATTTTGATTAATATATACATATATAGATACTAGGTAAATCAAATAATTTGATCAACATAAATATCACACTGCAATTTTTTGTTGGGTGTAACAAGTTATTGCAAAAAAAAAAAAAAATAAAATAATGTTCGTGTTCTAGACCTTTTGTGTGGGAGGGGGCGAGGGGTTGATATATCATCCACATCACCTCCTTTGAAAACGTCACTGCCGTTTATTATTCGCGGATAAAAATTCACTACATGAATACACAGTTTGCATTGCAATACCCAGAAGCGTGTACATGAAGGGATTTGGGAGGCTGATCCCCACATTGCCTTTTTTACAAAAAAAACGTCCACGCAAGGAAATTATTTGCCACTGACCCTACCCCCCCCCAACGTAAAAATGTGATGTGTACGCCACTGATTGTATAATCATACAAAGAACATTTTGACGTGTACAAACAACAATTAGGTTCCCTAGACACTTACAATAATTTCAATAATGTTTTGGATCCATCGAGTTTTCAAACTAAAGTTAACTATTTTGTTTTTCAAACACAGTTACAGCATTGACAATCGATAATATAGCCGGCCAAAATACGTTTCACGCGAATTTGAAACAAACAGTCCAACATACCAGCTATACAAATTTAATAATGACTGAGCTAATGCGTCCCCGTATTTTTCATTCCGTGTAACGTAATTATTATACAATTTTATTGATATTTGAGAATTTTTTTTTGTAATTTATCGCATAGGCGTAGGAAGCGGGGGGATAAAGGGGCTATAGCCCCCGAAAAATCTCCTCTAGCCCTCTCAACATTTTTTACAGCTTCCCTGCAAATGAGCATACAGTAAAAGGTTTTCTCGTTAACCTGGTTTTTTTTTTTTTTGAAACGTACGGAATAAGTGCAATTTATCCCTCTTAGCCCCCACCGCATCCTACGTTTGTGCTGATACGGAACGGAAGTTCTTTCAACCCCCCCTCCCCCCGAACCGCATATTTTGACAATTATCTAGAACGTCGCCGTTGCAAACGTATAGTACTATAATAATATTCGAACAGTTTCGAGACCTAATCTTATATTCCACGACTTCGAAAATCGAACGCACCACGATGAATACTTACACGGCACGACCGATACAATTGTACTATTGTCGACCGGCGATATAATATTATTATAATTTTTAACGGTCGATTTGTATCTAACAAATTTCGCCAATTCAATGTACACTGAGTTTTCAACATCGTACACGTGCACGCATATATTGATGAATTATTATGCCTTGAAATGTTCTTATATCGTAATAAAGCGCCACTCGATGAATATAATATTTATGTTGCGCGTACACGGTGTTACACACGATTCACGATGCACAATGGTACATACTTAATCGGGCTTGTTTTTTTTATTTTTATTTTTTTACATTTTATAAAATATTACCAACTGTTAATATTGAAAACGTATTTTTAAATATTTTAAAAAATAGAACACAAACAAACATGCGTTTTACGCTGCGCGAGTCTCTTTGAATACGATACACATCGCTGTATATACATCTAATACCGTATATGATCTAATCGCTTTAAAACAAAAGAAACAGATTTCAAAATGATATATTTAAGACTCTAATATGGATATAATACTTGCACCATATTTAAAAAAAAAAAAAACACACCATTACGTACCTGCTTCTTTATAAACGGAATACACGACTGTTTTCGTTTTCGTTCGTGTTGTTCTCATCTCGGCGGTTGTGATGATTTATTAGGTATTCATAAAAATGATACGATACCTACCAGTGTTGCGACCCGAAATAATCGGTTTAAAACCGTGATGAATGACGATAGCGTGTTGCACTTTTAATATTGCACAATTCTCCGTCATAACAATAACATAATAGTAATGAAAACCGAATAAAAAGATCAAAAGTCTTTGGAGTGGAAATATTTACCTATATAGACCATTGACTGAAAATTGACGAACGAATATGAATGTTATTAATGTTCTATAAAAATTATATATTCTCTATTTTATTACAAATTTAAGTTGAACCGTACATAATACTTTAACAGATTGTTTATGGAAATATGTAAATTATATCTGTGCAATCATTTTTCATATACGTTGATTAAGTATTCATTTTCGGGACTATATATTTTTTTCAGCGGACGCTAATATTGATTCTGTCAATTGTATTCGTGGTCGCTGAACCGCCATCATATGGGGGAACCGGATCTAGCAACAGCAATGGAAGCAGTAGGAACGGAGGATACGGAGGTAAAGGCCAATACGGAGGTGGCACTGGTGGTGGAGTTGGTTCGTCATCAGTGAGCCCATTTTTCAGCGGTGCCAACCAGTACGGATCTCAATCCGGCCTGTCCGGAGCCGGAAATCGGTATTCTTCGTTCGGGTCTAAACTTGGAGGCAATAAAGGGGGTTATGGAGGATCTGGTTCACGTAACGGTGGTCGTTACGGTAGTGGATCTTCGAACAACGGTGGATCAGCAAGTGGTTACGGAAGTGGTCTAGGTGGCCTCGGGGGATCAAATGGAAATTATGGAAGTGGATCTTCGGGAAGTTATGGAAACGGTGGCGGAAGTGGATCTTCGGGAAGTTATGGAAACGGTGGCGGAAGTGGTTCTACTGGTGGATTTAACGGAGGCTCATCCAGTGGCTATGGAGCTGGCTCATCCGGAAGTTTGTCCGGTGGTTTTGGAAGCGGATCATCTGGAAGTTCGTCCGGTGGTTATGGAGGCAGCTCGTCTGGAAGTTCATCCGGTGGTTATGGAGGCGGCTCATCCGGTGGTTTTGGAGGCAGCTCATCCGGTGGTTTTGGAGGCGGCTCGTCCGGAAGTCCATCTGGTAGTTATGGAGGTAGTTCATCTGGAGGTTTATCCGGTGGTTCATCTGGCGGCTACGGTAGTGGTTCTTTAGGGAATTTAGGTGGAGGATCGTCCGGAAATTATGGTAGTGGAAGTGGTGGATCTTCAGGAAGTAATGGTGGTTATGGGGCTGGAGGCTCTGGAGGTTCTGGAGGCTCTGGATCTTATGATCAATTTGGAGGAGCTAATGGCAATGGACTTGGAGGATCAGGAAACGACCCACTTTCGGTAAGACTAAAATTTAAATACAATACAATTTCTAATAGTCTATTAAAATCGTTTGCTCACACAATAAAATAAATACTAATATCGTAACAATATTGATATTTATTTTTAGTTTAAAATGCTATAAATTGGTAGGGTTCTTTTTTAAAAATAATGTGTAATGCATTTTAAATCTGTTAAGTACCTATGCATATAAATTATAGTCTATTTTATGGATAATACAGCCTGTAATCTATATTATAGAGTCTATAATATAGATTATAGACTGATTAGACTATAGAGTATAGACTGCATATTCAAATGACATTTGTCTTGCAAACATATTTACTTTCAACATATTAAATACATTAACACATTATTTTCAATGTTATATTTTATTTCATTATAAATATATTTTTTGTCACTTCTATAGTAGTCAATAGGCATTAATAGGCAAATAATATTATGTAACCAGGAACCGGCCAATTACGAATTTTCCTATGAAGTAAATGCACCGGAATCTGGAGCTATTTTTGGTCACAAAGAAAGTCGTCAGGGTGAAGAAGCTACTGGAGTATATCATGTGCTGCTACCTGACGGCCGAACACAAATAGTAGAATATGAAGCAGACGAAGAAGGATACAAACCAAAAATTACATATACCGATCCAGCAGGAGGATATGCTGGAGATCGCCAATCTGGAAATGGTTTTGGTGGTGCGAACGGCGGCGGTTCAGGAGGTTACGGAGGAAATGGCGGTGGTGCAAATGGCGGTGGTTCGGGAGGTTACGGAGGAAACGGTGGTGGCGCAAACGGCGGCGGTTCAGGAGGTTACGGAGGAAATGGTGGTGGTGCAAACGGCGGTGGTTCGGGAGGTTACGGAGGAAACGGCGGTGGTGCAAACGGCGGCGGTTCAGGAGGTTATGGAGGAAACGGCGGTGGTGCAAACGGCGGTGGTTCAGGAGGTTACGGAGGAAACGGCGGTGGTGCGAACGGCGGTGGTTCAGGAGGTTATGGAGGAAACGGCGGTGGTGCAAACGGCGGTGGTTTGGGTGGCTACGGAGGAAATGGCGGTGGTCAAGGATCCGGTTTGTACGGTAATGGTGGAAACAACGGTGGATTCAACAACAATGGTAATTCTGGTAGCTTTAGTGGTATTGGAGGATCTAGTGGAAGTTTAGGAGGTGGTTATGGTGGATCTAGTGGATCCAGCGGTGGTTTAGGAGGCAGCTATGGCGGATCTGGTGGATCCAGTGGAGGTTTAGGAGGCAGCTATGGCGGATCTGGTGGATCCAGTGGAGGTTTAGGAGGCAGCTATGGCGGATCTGGTGGATCTAGTGGAGGTTTAGGAGGCAGCTATGGCGGATCTGGTGGATCCAGTGGAGGTTTAGGAGGCAGTTATGGTGGATCTGGTAGTTCCAACAGTGGTTTAGGTGGTAGCTATGGTGGATCTGGTGGATCGAACAATGGTTTGGGAGGTAACTATGGTGGATCTGGTGGATCGAACAGTGGTTTAGGAGGCAATTATGGTGGATCAAGTGGATCCAATGGAGGTTTAGGAGGAAGTTATGGTGGATCTGGGGGATCAATTGGTGGTTTAGGAGGGGGTTACGGTGGATCTAGTGGATCCAGTGGCGGATTAGGAGGCAGCTTTGGTGGTTCCAGTGGATCTACTGGTGGTTTAGGAGGCGGTTATGGTGGATCTAGTGGATCCAGTGGTGGACTAGGAAGTGGTTATGGTGGATCAGGAGGATCTGGAGGATTAAATGGTGGTTTAGGTAGCAGTTATGGTAGTCCTAGTGGTTCTAGTAGTGGTTTAGGAGGTAATTACGGTGGTTCCAGCGGTGGTCTAGGAGGATCTTACGGCAGTAGTCGTAATGGTTTAGGAAGTGGATCGTCGTCTTACTAAAACTTTTTTATTGCTCAAATGAATAAACAACTTGTTAGAAAATCTTATCTAAACACATTTTTATTTGATATATATTAAATATATATAATATCAAATGAAAATCATCAATATTATTTTTAATAATAATATGTATGACAATAAATATTATTGTTAAAAAACATTGTATTTTTGTAATTTGCACAGTATATTCTTGGTTAATTTTACACATATTTCACATTTTTCTGTATACTATGAGTGCATATTATGTTTTAATGTATACTAAGTCGTATACAATTTTAATTTTACTTTTGGTGAATTGTGCAATTTTCTATTCATTTTAAGAACTGAGGTGATTATGTTTGTTAATTTTATAATTATATATTTAACATTTATGTGATAAGTTTAATACTTGATTGATATACTTTTGTTATACATGAATAAATCTTACTTTTCTATTATAATCAATTTTTGTTTTATTATTATTATTATCTGTACATGTTGTTATTATATTTTACCTAACATCTGACCATGATATAAGATATTGATATAATAATATCATTATCATTCCGTTCAATATACTAAATATATTAGGCAATTAATCTGTGTACCTTTTACAAATTTCTTAGCGGAGCACAATAAAATAGGTCACGACTTGTATGCATTTTATGGTTATGTCTAATAAAATCGTATTAACTTTTAAACTAATAATAGATAACAGCTCGATAAATCCAGTGTATGGCTTAAGTGACTCTTTAAAATGAGTATACTGGACGAATCAATCTATCAAATATAAAAATAAAAAAGTCATAAAGCCACCAAACTCAATATACAAAAACGTTTTTAATTATCATGGTAATATTTTCAATTAGAAAAGCTTTCACATCATAACTCTTGTATGTATCGGTTTGTTTGTATTCATATTATTATAATTTAATATCGCATACGAATAGCTCTGTGTACTCCATTGTTTGTATGGTTGCTATATAGGTTACCTCACCTATATATATATATCTATTATTACTGTTCATACCGATCCACGAAAGTTTGAGTGGTTCATAATATGACAGTCGCGTTATTATGTCAATACGTATATTATTTTGTTGACACGGGGACCGAATCGGAAAACACTCAAAAACTCGCAATTTTTATCGTAGTAAATAAATTCAGTAAAAGACGATACCTCATAAAAATATAACTAGCGACGTAGTCTTTTGGGTTCAGCTGGGACGACAAACAGAGTAAAAAGTTTTGTATTGTTTTTTTATTATTATTATTGTTTGTATATAAATTTTATCAAGTTTTTATAAACGGTTCGACGCTTGAAAAATCTGATTTGCTATTGCCGTAAGTTTTATTCTATAGTCTCTAACAGCAATATTTTTAGATTCTGAGCGTGGCTAAGAATGTATTGGTTTTCCATGATGTGTTTATAAGAATTTTAGTATTAAATTTTGACGAAAATCGTAAATATCATGGCCTTTCAAATCATATACCATCGAACTCCATTCAGTTTATCGTTAGCAATGATTAATAATTACATACAAAAATACATTAAATTCCCCTCCAAATCCTACCTTCCAAACTTCTCATCTACAACAGTAAGCCACCCATCGTGCAAAATATTATCCATCTTTTTTATTATAATTATTATTATTATTTTTTAATCCGAATTTAAGATTTGGAAAAATACACTTATTTATTTTAATCATAAATAGTTATTTCAATAATCACACAGTAATTGATCGCTCAGATATAACTCAAATATAACTAATATAGTTGTTTTAAATCGAATATTTAAAAAAAAAAAGAGAGAGAATATAATATTTTATATTGTTTCATCATATTAATAGTACCTGCAACACAAATACCACTCGTTTCTTGCTAAACTCACTACACATTCTGTACTTATTTTTTAATCATTTAAATGTATTATTATTATGTTATATTTACATAATATATACGTAAGTACCTATGTCAGTGGCGAGGCGAACTCAATTATCTAATGAGGCGCAATGACTAATACCTACCACCCACTTTATTTATTTTGCTTATCGGCATATACATACATGGATCCATCATGGATACACCAATAGTTCGATAGTTTCCAGTAAATCGTGCCCATTGCAACCATACCACACATTCGTCTTTTTTATACATTCATTTTTATTTATAATAATTTACCATCTTATATTGTAAATTTGTATCGTGCTTCATACACATTTTTTTATTCACGTTTAGACATAGTTATTTAAAAATGAATATTCACTATTATTAATACATTCAATAAAAATATTATTATTATATTTGGACTTAAAATACGGACTTAAATTCATACTTCGAATTAATTAGTAATACATCATCAACATATAACATATAATTTGTTTTTTTTTTTTTTTTATCAAAGGTCTACTTTGGTTAGGTTATCAAATATTGTGGTGATTCTGTTAGATATTAATGGTATTACACGGTACACGGTGTCAGTGGAATGCCGCCTTAGGGTGTGTTAGCAGGTAGGTTTACAGCTGGTACTAGGTAGCAGTGTTGAGAATTATTTAGATAAATATTTAATTATCCTTTATTTTACCTAGATAAATAGTTGGAAGTTATCTAATTATTTATCTAAGATAAAAAATGTATCCATATATAGATAAATTTATCTAGATAAATTCGTCTCTATAAAACTGTATATATAATAAATATATATTTTTATTGTCAATTTATGTTTTTGATAGTTAATTATTTAAATACTTTAAATATTAAACTGATAAATAATTTATAAAACCTGTGTATAAATTATGTAATTATTATCATAACGTCAAAAAACTGTATACAAAGTAAAAAAAAAAAATTTTCGAAGTGTTTTAATTACAAAGTGGATATAAAAACTACAAACAGAAAAATATTTTGTAAAATAATACAAAAAGAAAGTAAAAAAAGTGAAAAAAAAAAATCAAGACTCCGGGTATCGAACTCTGAGCTACTAAGCTGGAACATATAGTAAGTGCCACTACGCCACCGTATTCATAGCTTGCAAAGCAATTTTTGCAACGCTGTTAAATAACTATGTGCAAAGGTACCGTTTTATTATTTTTTTTTAACGATGCAAATAAAAAAATAGAAAGGTAAAAAAGAAAAGTATCTGGTATAAAATCACCACAATAATTCAAGAAAAAAACAGAAAAAAAAATTTTGAAAATCGGTATAGTACTTTTTATGTTAATCCCAAATAACGAAATCACTCAGTCACAAAATACATATAAAATAGTAATATGTTGGGTTTTAACCTAACCTAACCTAACCTAACCTAACCTAACTAAACCCAACTGTAATGTGTTTCTTTTTTAATCCGTGAACGACTTTTCAATCAGAAATAATGTTCCAATCAGCAACTTCAATGGAGGTTTTTTATAGAAAATGTTATCCATTTTATAAATTGTAGAGGTCATTTTATGATTTACCCAATAGTTTTTTTAATATTTGGAAAATAAACATCTAAAACGGGAATATTTCCAAAAACAAAAGTTTTGTTTTTTTTTTTTTTTTTTAATTTAGTTAAAAATAAATTTAGAAGTCTAATTTCTTCATAGAATACTGATATTAGCATTTTCTTGAAGTAATATAATTTTAAAAGCACATTCTCCCGTGGTTTTCTAATTATTTAAATAGGTATTTGAAATTTTCGAGAGTTAATTTTTGATTTGATTATATATATTATGTAAATAAAATACCTATTGCAAGCCGTTTAGAAGTGTTAAAAAATTTAATACGAAATTATGCATACGTTTTATTTATTGGCAAATAAAAAAAAATGTGTGCGTAATGTAGTCGTTTTAGATTTATAAATGTATGCATGCATATATCTTATTACATCCCCGTCGTGTCCGTCCAAATAAACATTAGGTTTTTAATTTTCGTAATAAGTTATTTTATTTATTTATTAATTATAAAATACGAGACAAGACCAGTTTACATTCATTGTTCTTAAATCCAACATATATTTTACTTATAACAGATCTGTGGATTGCTAGCGATAACTTAATATTTGACTCCATTACTATTGTTTCCTATGACTATTACTCTTTCTACATTGTTTAGCATATTATTATTTACTATTTATTTATAATTTTCAATTTTTTATTTTTGTTATAATTGAGATAAACATATTTGTAGAGACATGAAATTTGGACGGGAAACTTATATTTTCCTTACTAGACGTCGTAAAATTTTCATAACATTTCAATAAGTTTTCGGCTATTTTTAGGAATTTTATAATTGCTAGGTTTTTACAATTTTACATAGTTTTTATTTGGTATATTATTGTTTGACTAAACAAAAATGATTGAAAATTTAACTGGAGGTTTATTATAAGTCGTATTTAGAGGTAAAAGAAAAAAATTGAGTGTAATGTAATATATATTTTTTTATATAATAGTTTTAATATCAAATTTTAATGAAAATCGTAAATATTACGGCCCTTTAAAATATGCAGGTACAATCGAACTTCTCTCCGAATCGTTTTTCGTTAGCAATGATGGTTTATCGGTTATTGCAAATATATATAAAATAATTGCATGTATTTTACCTTCCTAAATTCCCGCTTACAGTGGCGTAGCCATCAGCACATCAGCTCTTTTAGATTCTGAGTAGAGCGAAGAGGCTTATGGTTTTACAATGATGTTTATTTTTTTTATCTGTGACCAATTTTTCAACCAGAAATATTACTTCAATTTACAAGTGTAGCACATTTTCTGAAAGGAAATTTGACTGGAGAGGTACTTTAAAAAAGTAATTATATGATTTTCTCAAGAGTTTTCTCGGTATATCGGAAAAACCTGGAAAAAACTGAAGAAACACGGGAAAATAGTTACAATGTTTAACAAATATTTTAAAAGAAAATGTTTAATACATATGTAATTATTTTACCATAATATGACGATATATATATAATATATATATATATCGTTGACAAAGCAACACTATCGACTGAACTCAGCTCAGAATCTCTTTTTTTTTTTTTTTTTTTTTTACTTTTAGACGAGAGCCGTCAGCGGACCTCATGAACGATCACGTGGCATTTCTCACCGCAGTGATCGCCGTGCAACTGTATTCCGCGTTCGACGAGATTCGATCGCTGTTGGTCGACGAAGAGTTGGCCGTCCACTTGCAGACACTTTCGGCAAACGCTATCGGCGTGATTAGCACGCTGCTGACGGCCGTGTACAGTGCCCGGTTGCGGCGAATCCGATGTACGCTGGACCGCGTCGAGCGTTCGCTACAGCAAACCGTGGCCGTTGACGGCGGCAACGATAATGACGGTGCCGTAAGCTGGCCATTTGGATACCGCGCCAGAGCGTCGCTGGCACTGGCCATCGTCACGTTCGGTTACCTCAAGTACGGTCAACTAGCCGCGTCCAGTGGCGTCGACGCGAGCGCCTACGTCACGGTCGCCGTAACGTTGCTCCGGACCGTATCGATGGCCGGCCACTATTATGTGACTGTTATGTTCGTGGGCCACGTGTACCTAGTGAAAAGGTCAGGACATTTTTTGCAAACGGCTTTTAAAGGGGGCCAACTACACTGTACCGCGTCCGTGGTTTTCACGATAACCTTTTAAACGGCAGCGCGCGGTCCGTAACCGGCCGATTCGTCGTGATAACTATAGTTATTAGTAGTACCTAACCGATAGTTACCGCACGTCCGAATGTATTAATGTATTATTGGAGTTTTAATAATTATTTCAATAGTTTACATACGATAACAGTGCGCGATTGCCGGTTTCTAATTAATAAATGTCTAAAGTCGAGAAAAATTTTCAAAAATGTTGTTTGTTTTAAATTTTGATATACCGAGTGATCCATTTAATTGGATACACTCATTATCTCGGAAAGTATTCATATTTTTCTTGATTTGTTTTCTAGAACATTTAAGAAACAAGCAGCTCTATGATTTAATAGTTACATATTTTTCGTCGCCCTTGTTTTTAAAGGTAAAACCACTACCTACTTTTGATTTTCAAATAGCAACTCATATTAAAAATTCCATAAATAGACGGAGTATTAGTTAAAATAAAGTGTTGACATTTTTAATTTCCGTCAATCCATTGACGAGTTATTACATTTTTAAGTTTGGGTTTGAAGTAGTATCATTTGTGTGATGGTAATATGCGCGGCATGTTAATAATGCATCACTACTTAAACTTAAACTAAACCTAAACTTAAAATTCATATTTTTAAAAAATATTCAAATTTTTTTTTAACATTTTACTATACTTCTTTAATAATAATAATAAAAAAAAAAAACAATGCACTGAATAATAGCTATATACCCAGTTATTAATGGCCGATAAATAAACGTTCGGTAAACGGTAACTTATTTCTGTTCGTCCAAGACGAGGCATGGTCGGGTTCGTCGGGGCTTGTACTGTCCACCGTTTATTCATCACATAATATTACAAATAGGTACTGATAAACATTAATTATACTAAATCAATGATATAAACTATCACGAATATTATCCAAAATTATTGATTGTTTCCTCACAATAAATTATTTATACATCATTTCGCAATAATTACTATATCTAGTATTTCAAATCACTTGGATATTATTTGCTAAGACCTTTTTTATGATACACTGTGGTTCAGAGACTACATAAGTGATTTGCCCACACTTAATGTAGAATAAGATATTTTTAGAGAGAGTTTCGCCATTGGTAGGTAGAGAAAACAATGCACTGAATATTGAAACATATGAGTGTAGCCAGTTACTTATTTGTAGAACGAACTCAGATTAGCGTAAAAGTAAAATGTAATATATTATTGAAAAATATACACATTATTTATGTTTCAATACAAATAAATATTTGTTTACAGAACATAATAATAATAATTTAATAAATTAGTTATAATTTAAATGTACAATGTGAAGTATTAATATCCACCTTGACCAGCGGACTCAGACGAAAATCCGCCTGGAGAACCTTTACCAAATCCACCATTTTGTCCAGATCCACCAATGTCAGATTCACCTCCGTATTGTCCGGATCCGAAACCGTTTTGTTCTCCGGATGAACCAAAATTACCACCATTTGAGCCAGATCCTCCACCATATGAACCGGCATTCCCGCCATTCTGTCCATTCTGACCACCGTAAGATCCAGAATTTCTACCATTTTGGCCATTATTGTTGGACCCACGACCACCAGATGTGTTTGGTCCTCCAAACTGCCCTCGTCCATTTCTCCCGGAACTTCCAAAATATGAATTAAAACTCACTTTGGCTGCTGGAGGAGCATTTTGATTTGGATTATAACTTCCACCGTTGGCGCCAGCAAAGTTTCCGTTACCAGCTCCGTTGGGTCCAAAACCGGCGGCACCACCCGGGCCACTATTTCCGTAGCCTCCATTACCTCCATTACCAACATTACCACCATTCCCATATCCCCCGCTACCTCCTAATCCTCCATTACCTCCTCCTAAACCTCCAGCTCCGTAGCCTCCACTACCTCCTAAACCTCCATTACTACCTCCTAAACCTCCAGCTCCGTTACCACTTCCTAAACCTCCAGCACCGTATCCTCCATTACCTCCTAAACCTCCATTACCACCACCCAAACCTCCGTTTCCATATCCTCCGCTACCTCCTAAACCTCCATTACCACCACCCAAACCTCCGTTTCCATATCCTCCGCTACCTCCTAAACCTCCATTACTACCTCCTAAACCTCCATTTCCATATCCTCCACTACCCCCTAAACCTCCATTACTACCTCCTAAACCTCCAGCTCCGTAGGCTCCATTACCTCCGGATCCTGCGTTACCACCTCCTAAACCTCCAGCACCGTATCCTCCATTACCTCCTAAACCTCCATTACTGCCTCCTAAACCGCCAGCTCCGTATCCTCCATTGCTTCCAAAACCTTTATTTCCACGGCCTCCATTACCACCTGAAAAACCTCCATTGTTTCCATCTCCATAGCCTCCAATCCCACTGCTACCCCCAAAACCTTTATTTCCTCGGCCTCCATTACCTCCTGAACCACCATTTCCATATCCCCCATTACCTCCTAAACCTCCATTTCCGTATCCCCCGTTACCTCCCAAGCCTCCATTACCGCTTCCTGAACTTCCAATACCATATTCGCCATTGCCGTTTCCTCCGGTGGCTCCAAAGCCATTCTCGCCATTGGGTCCACAGTTTGCAGGGCCATTTTGACCTCCTGGATTCCTACTGTTTCCGTTAAAGCCATTTCCGTAGCCGCCTTGTGCTCCCTGCCCTTGACCAGGAAATCCGGATGTAGAGCCATAGCCATTTGCACCAGAACCGCCGTTGGGCCTTCCAGATGATCTTCCTGTTTGACCCAGAGCACCGTATTTGCCATTTGAAGAAGAACCGCCTTGTCCTGACTGTTCATATTGCTGGCAAATACACAATCTCAACAGACATACCGCAATAATTAATTTCTGAAACATAAACACAATACCTATTAATGTACATTTATATTGGTTTATCCATTTAATAATACGTGTCGCTAATACAATATGTATTATAAGTATAAAGATATGTAAATAATATTACGTACATACATTTAGTATGTAAAATATAATTTCTTTTTCATGATTTATTCAAATTTATATCCATCAATCTATGTAGCGAAAATTGTTAAGAAAACTTATTAAAATTCCACCGGTTCGTTGATATATTATTTGTATGATATGCATATTAATATGGATATACATATTTCACGAGTTAGCAATAAATTATGACAGTTTTAGCATTAAAATTTACTAACCGCGTATTAAATTTTTTTTTTTATTTAAAATGGTGTTTTCATTTCAAATATTAATTTTTTTTTGTTCAATTACGATAAAACGAGATAAACTTTAAAAAATTAAAATTGAAATACAGGAACCGATAAAATAACATACGTTTCATAATTTTCAGAAATATTTTGTAAAGTGTACAAAATAATGTAATTTTTTTCAAAAGTTCAGTTAAAATTTTTAATAGGTTCTTCTCGTGATAAAAACGTGTAGCTTTTAAGCATATGACACAAATACTTGATGTACTAAATAGAAATACTAAACAAAAAATGTTTTTCGGCTTGATCTGAAATTTATATGTTCTCGAAAAAGTAATCAAACTAAAATTAGCAAGAAAAAACTTGAATAAACGTTTTGACAACAAAATGGTATACAAGTGTTTACTATTTATATTTTAGTACTGTTAACGTTTTAATTAAAAATATATTATAGTAATAATAAATGTATAAAGGGATAACATTTGAAACCGTGTCAACAACCAAAATAATAGCAATTATTCGTTGACCGCGTCATCATTACAATCACAAAACACAATCATATATTATTCCAAACTTAAATAACGTATTTTATATTTTTTTTTTTTACGATACAGTCACGTTTATATTGATTTGTACGGTTTCCGGATAAAAACCATCTAGAAAATATTGTAAAGGATTTCCAAATTACCTATACGCGGTGATTTTTAACGTTTGTAAATCGTTATTTTTACAAATTTCGGTTGGTATCGAATTATCGTTCTTGAAAAAAGCATATCAAACTAGAAGTTAAACACTTTCGGATTTCTGTCTGGTATACTAGCTAGATACTTAACGGCCATAGGCTTTTAGAGGGATTTAGAACGTAACCTGTATGAAAAAAAAAAAAAAACAAAATTGTTTTACAGTACTTTCGTGCTTGCTATGCACAATGAACGTTTCCGGTAAACTAAATCGGATTAGATTATAATCAAACTGGATTAAACAAGTACCAGACCGACTTTCGAATCCGATCGCGTTCGACCGGTGCCTATAATAATTGGCATATTATTTCGTCCCGACCGTCTCGGCCGTACTATAAAAACACAGATAAGTGGACGCGGTGTAGAAACTCGGAGAAATACCGGTACGATAATGATGTCCGGAAAACCACATTTTATCGGTTTACAATTACAATTATTCCGGTACTATTGCGGCAAAGTTTTCAGAAACGACTGCTCGACAATCGGCTAGGTCGTTTTTTCTCGTATAGGCGATCAAAAGGAATGCCCAACGTCAAAGTTACCTTGATCATGGTAGAATACGCCATCTTGCGGGCTGTCACGTGTAGAGTCGACCGCGGGACGCACTGCTCCGACGCGAATAGAAAAGCAATAAAAATAGTACGAGTACCCAAGTGCCCGGTGTTGTTTGATGCGGTCGGTGGGCGAGCACGACGACGGCGGCGAAGACGACGACGTCGGTCGGTCGGCGGCGGTAAAGCGGCGAGCGGGTAGGTGTTCGTAACAGTTCCGACGATCGGTTCGATGGGACGATAACGGTCGACGGAGAACGAGTGTGGCAGACCGACCGGCGTCCGGAGTTAAATAGCGGCGGGCTCGTCAGAGTTTTCGGGCCCGCGGCCTTCCGAAACGCGGCTGCGGTGGCGGATGAGGTCGCGGCGGTAAAGTGGCGGAAAACCAACGCGTACCTACGTGGATGCGGGCCCGTATAATAATATTATTATTATTATTATTGTACGCGTGACAAACGCGTTAAGATAAGAATATTGTTATTGTCATTATTATCATGACGTCACTCGAGCCGGGCGACCTTTCCGAACCGTCACGAAGGGTCACCGCCGTCGACGCGTTCGACAATGCCCGAAACGACGTCACGCCGACGACGGTGGCGGGCCATTGTACCGCGGCCGCAGACGCGAAGAACGGGCCTTGAGACCGACGGCGGGTTTTTCAACAGTATTTGCACCCGTACACGGCTTGCACGCGCTCGTGATGTACCTCGGCGTATATCATAATATGACAGTATAAGTTGTAGTATATTATGTGTCTGTGTAGAAGAAGAAAAAAAGCCGACGACGACCGCAACAATAATCGTGTTACTATCGTAATACACAATAATATCAAACGTCATCTCGAGGACTTGGACGCCAGTCACTCTTTGACGCTCTGGCGGCGGCGGCGTGACCTTCTGCGCCCGTCAACCGGCGGCCGCGGAGTTGACGCGTTTTCGCGAATTGCGGCCACTCGCGCCCGGGCATGATCGATAATACCACTCGGTGCCTATTATTGTTGCAGTTACTACAATAATTCCATTCAAATTCGAGTAGGTACGAAAGTGTTTTTTTTTTTCGCGAGCGGTTAGGCACCAACAGGTACATCGAGTTAGTTATTATTGTTCGTTCAAAGTCAACCGCTGCACTTTGTTTCGGGACACTCCGCCGGCGCCGTGTGCGAGCCATTACGCGCACAATAGACCGGGCCGGTACTCTCGGCCGGGTTGCGGTGACTCGGTCGGAGTCTGCGGGTCCGTGGCCTTGGAAATGCAGGACAAGCCCGTGAGTCCAGAATATTATGCCGCCGCCGGCGTCGCATCTTTCGGCTCTATTTTTCCGTTTACTGTACGACGGCGTTCTGTACGGTCAGTACAACAGTACACCGATCTCCGATATACTTATAGTTTCTGCGCTTTATCCAACCGCACATTTATTATCGTATGTTTGTACCAGTGGCGTGTTTACAAGACAGGCCGACTAGGCCCGGGCATACCCGATTTTTACTTGACGTTTTTGGCGTGTACGAATAATGCATTCAGTCAAATATTATATCAAATACGGTTTAGTCGTATGTACTAACACAGAATAGTATTAGCTGTTACTTATCACGTCTGGGTATAGCAGAATATCAAATGGCTGGGCTAGTACCCATAGACCTTATATCCAGTATAGGGCCTATGCCGGTAACCAAATTGTCTTATCAGTAGATATGACGCTTCAGTATTAGCTTATTGTTCCGTAGTAATATGCAACGGTGATGGCGTATGGTGACATGATGTAATAGAATATCATGTATCAATGTTGTTACTATAACAATAATTATTATGTATTTTGAAAAGTTTAAACTTTAAATTTGAAACGTCATACAACGCGTTTCTTTATAATAAACGAATAGATTACTTTACAAACAGTTAAGTGATCAATGTACACAGTGGCGTATTTTGGGCTTTTTTTTTCGGGGAGGGGGTGCCCTGATTCTTTGGCACTGGCAATAGTTTTTCTCCACAAATATTAACATAGCTTCATCACGAATTCATACATGAATACACCTTAAAACCTTACAAGTGATAATTTTCTTATAAAAAAATCTTAAGATTGCTACTTAAATTTTTGATTATAATAAAATTATGACACGAATAAAGTATAAACTGAATAAATTAAAATCAATTTAGCACTTAAATTTACTGAATAATTTCCCATATTTGTTTAATTAATTTTATATATTCGTGTATTCACAATGTATTCGTGTTCATAAACCTAATAATATTATCGTTTGGCAGTCTCCAATTGTTATTAATCCATGATAGAAATTGTCAAAGCAGTTTTAAAATATTTAGTCATTTGTCAACAATATTTTGCGATAATTCAGTGATGAATAAAACTAAAACAAATATTGGCGGGCGGGGGGTGATTAACCCCGAGGACACCTCCCTTAAATTCGCCGTTGAATGTACAAAATTTCGTTTCCCATTTCTGAATATCGTTAAATCGTTCTACTGTAAGACTATAAAAAACACAACGGGCCTACCCGAATATTTTGTGCAGGACACGCCACTGGCACGTTCCACATTTTCCTCTGCAGTGTCAAGAGTATCTCTAATAATTAATTCTGGAACGCATTAGATAGATATTTATAACATGATATTTATATCATCTGGTTAACAACTTGCATCAAAACGTGTAGGTTTTTATTTAAAAAACTAAAGTGGTTATCACCATATGATACTCCTTGAATGTCGTGTAAAAATCGGAATATGCAAAAATATCGTCGTTCACTGAACTGAAAAACAGTGGTAAGCGAATATGACTATTTTCCGAATACATCACATTCAAATATTTACGATCGATTTGAAACCGGTACCCGATCAGATATCTGAAATCGAAAACTATGAACCGTGTTACGAGCCCGCACGCGCCTTCCGCAAGAGACGCGTGCGGACCCGGTACGGTAGTACTTACCACACACGAAACCGAATACCTACCCGATGCAGCGGGCCTGCAAAGTATACAGCACCGAAATATCGGTCGTGACATAATATAAACGTGTTATAATACTAATATTGGTACAATAACAGTACGTATGTAATTTCGGCGGTTTTGGCTGGTTTTGGGCAGCAATGAAATATTGATAGCAGCGGCTACGAACGACGGGCTGCGGGGGTCCCCCGGAGCATACATGACGCCGCCCGAAGCATCGTCTAACCAGACGAGTCCACCGCGATCGAATACGAGCAACTTACGAGCAAACTCCGTTTTATGAAGTATTTTCGGACTTGTCATATTTTTGTGAATTTATTTATTGGACTTGGGGTTTTTTTGTGTGGAAAATATTAATTATTTATAAACTCAAGTCGGAGATTGCTTTATTTAAAACATTTTTCCCCCGAGTCATATTTCTACGTTGGGCCCGTTACAGCCGATATCGAGAAAACTTGCTCAGATTTCTACGTGTAGCACTTTTTCTGAAAGGAAATCGGTGTGAGATGGTACTTTAAGGAGATCATTTTTCAATTTTCCCGGGAGTTTTCTGAAAAATGAAAAAAAAAACGGGAAAACGTACGAAATATATTACTAAAATATTACGGTTTTATTTTCCTGTACACAATTTTTCAACCAGCAATTTTGCTGGAAATAAAACGTGAGAAAATCGAGAAAAACGTAAGAAAACTGGAAAAATCGGTACAACATTAAACAAATATTAAGCAATGGTTTATCGTTGCTTACAGGTTTACAATAAATTACCTATAACATTGGCTGCACCCGTCCCCATTATTCTAGGATGTTTTTTTAAACAATATGTTTACAATCTATCATCATTCTTTAATTTACATTATTAAACTAAAAACTCACACATGAACAGCTGATAGCATTTGTTGTTTGAAACGGTTTTCTCAGATTGTAATATTAAATATTATTATCGAAATTAGACGTTTATTGAAAATGTATAAAACAAAATTATTTCAATTAAATCGGGTCCAATATCGATTTTGAAAAAAAAAAAAAAAAAACGATATTCTGATACTCTCAATATCTCGGTTTATGCCGATACTCTCCACTGCTTGAAAATTCCAAAACACAAAATTTTAATTTATGCACAATTTAGCCATACAAATGGGGTGAGCATGCTTAAAAAATTACGCCGTGCATTGTATTATATCTTCAAAGTTATGTAAATAACAATAGTTCTTAAAAAAATATCCTTTTCCCCGTGACAAAGTCATTTGACCGACACTGGACGCAATAGTTGTAGTGCGCCCCGGTATTATTAATAACCAAAATAATTATCAACAATGATATTACATTAATACGGTAGCGTTTGTTTCAGAGTGTTGTGCAAGCTCAACGTCAAGATAACGGACTCGCTCGGTTCGGTTTCGGCGCCGTTCGTGGCCGGCCGGTTCACCGTGTCCGCCGCACGACTGGCCTACCTGGACGTGCGCGACAGTTGCGCAACGGTGACGGGAGCGTTTCAGACCCAATTGTTCATCAACATCGTGGGCAACGTGTTCGGCGTCACGTTCATGATGCTCTCCGCGTTCAACGCGCTCATGTCGGACGGCACCAGCACCGTCCAAATCACACTGTATTTTTTATACGATTCGCTGTTGCGCACACTGCAAATGTACTTCATCATAGACGCTTGCCACACGACCGTCGAACAGGTCGAGTCTACTATTTGATAATATTGTAATATTGTGCGAGTGAAATGTCCGGATGGTGTGCAGTTTGCACTGTACACGAAAATAACTGCAACGCGAGTGCAGTATGCAACTGTACTCATACCTAGATGTAGACTAGAACACTGCAGGTGACTACGCGACTATACAGTGCAGGTGTCGCCGGAGTCGTAAAAATTTAGTCGACCAGAATAAGAATACGTTTCATAGGCTCCCAATAGCTGAACACAGCCTATATGTCCATATGTCCGATATGTACCTATACATCCGAAATAGCCGTATAGGTTTTTCTTTTTGTAGTGCAAAGGATTCATTCGGTTTCGGCAACTTTAACTCAATATGACGTAGTTCTATGCTTCATTTTTTGAAAAAAATGTCTGCCCAAAACCCAATCTCAACGTAGATTTCGGCGCCATTGATTACAGGAGACATCAGTACCGTCATAAGTGACTACGCTTGCTCCTGGGAGTAAGTGAAAATAGCTGGAGTAAAGAGGACGTGTAACCCGCGTGTACTGTCTCCGTCTTACAAACGTATATGACATTGTGTTCAGCAGGGACAACTTTATGCTGTGAGTTTTAACATTAGAACGAGTCGAACTATTATCAAAACTTTAAATTATGAAAATTCACATTTGTGCAACGTTGGCGTTATTTTTTCGATAGTTTTGTTTTCGAACGAGATATAAACGTTGTTAAATTGTGACAATTCACATAACTTATAAAATATCACCTTAAAATTAAAATACCGAACAAATAGCGCCAACGTTGCACGTATAATGTAGTTCTTATATTTATGTTTGTTTATAGATCGATTTGCTCAAATATTAAAACGAACAGTTGGTACAATATTGTCCCTGCTCAACGCAAACATCCTATGCCGCATGTACGTTTGTATGCGGTGATGATATATGCGGGTATCACGTCCTTACATACTCTTGAGACGTGAAACATGTGATCTTATATTATAATATTTTTAAAAAGTAAGTTTCTGTGGCAATCCTTTTTTCTCCCTTTGTACTTAACCAAAATCAATAAATGAGGTATCCATTTCAATGATTAAGTTCCCCTCTTTTGACGAAGCGGCGTTATTTTAAAACTGTACAATTTATTATATTTGTTTACAAATCAAAGTTAAAAACTAATGTTTGAATCGAATTGTGTTGTAGCTACGGTATATATTAATAACATAATAGTTAATAAATCATACTCAAATAATTGTTCAACATAACCGGTTGTGTTAATTAGGAAATATTTGTATGACTGACCTAACTCGTGTCTACTTTCCGTTCCATTTTTAATACAATATACCTATTGTTGCAGTCTATCTAGATTAAGTAATGGTTGGTGGGTAGGTATAACATATAATATGAGATAACTGCATGATTTTCGAAAAAACATATATTATAGGTACGAGCCACTGGACGCAAATTTGTTAAACATAAGTATACATTGGACACTAGATAGCAGTGGTGATACGAATTGGTAAAATATTTTAATAATTTGATTCATAAAAAATGAATGGATTGGTTGTAGGTTCACAAAAGTAACACAAATTATTATAGTTTTACAAAATAAAACATCATATAAAATGCTTAAATATTCCTTATAGTACAATAAGCAAATAAAACGTACAGGTTTTAAGTAAGTTTTCTGTATACGCTAATGTATGTGTATAGTGAAATAAAGGCATTAAACATTTTTTAGATCGCGGAAAGTTTGATAAGTTTCAATAAGGGCCTGTTCTGAAACTAGTTTACGTAAATTAACAATTTTTGGTGAGATGTGGTGCAGTCGTTCTAATCCGGAAAATAGTGTTAAATATCAGGCAGTCGGACTGGGAACCGAATACAAGTCTCTTGTTTATCAATCGATTATTCTGTCACTGAGCTACCCTGTACCTGAATTCTAACACTATTTCCGATGGACTTATACGGTCTAACGTTCAATATTTGGATGGTTGGTGGAGTGTAAGGTTTGGGGGACGATGGAGCGTTCGGGAGTCGTGTCGAGGGAGGGAGTTATTTTTGGTAAGTGGGTGGGTGGAAAATGAAACTGCAGATTCAAGATAAAAACATTTAAATAGGCCTGTTAGGATGATTTAAATTAGATCTGATATTTTGATTTGTTGTAAGCAAATATATATATATATCTTTTTTTTTTTAATTGATGGCTTTTCAAAAGATTAATATTTGTTTTATAATTTATTGTTTAGGCCAATATTATTAATATTACATTTCAAAAGAAATTTAATGAATTCCATCACATTAATGCCATAAAGAGAAAGGTACGTAATATAGTTGTATACATGTATGGATAATATTATTTTTTATTATAATATGCATAATATTTAATTAATACAAAATGTATGTAATTCATATATTTCTATAAATTATATTAAGTGTACAAAATAAAGTCAGTAAAATTGGCTACAATAGAGCCTAATATATAACTAATATTATTAGGCATATAGATATTTTAATACTGAATTAATTTATTATTTTTAGGTACATTTGTTCATTTTGGAGATGTTGGATCACAACATAGAGTTTATCATTTACGGTTTTATTTGCCTGAACTTTGAAATGTTTGTTTCGGTACGTACAAATCTAACATATTATAGATGCCTACCTAGAACAGATAATTTTTTAAACATTAAAAACCTATTACCTAAGTAATCGATTTTCAGATAATGGGCACCATTGCTACATATTTATTGATTTTGGTGCAATTAGGATCTACACCAGACGTCTTGAATAAAACGATGAATGCGACTAACATAACTACAGCATCAACAGAAAACGGCGTATTTACCACGATAAAACCGTCATAAATGAAGCAATATAATTTTTAAATAAAATTAAATGCACTATTACTCTAACAGTACGTTGTACCCGCATGTACTCTTTCCGTCTTTCAAACGTACGAATGCATTAGTAGTAAATTAACGTTCAGCATGAACAACTACGTGACGTTATCGTATAAATACTAAATTGAATCGGCCTATCATCATACTTAAAGATAAATACATTATTAATTGTGCAACTACGTCAGTTTTTTCAATTACTGAACACTAATCTACTGCTATTCCTTTTTAAAACCGAGACGGTACATATGGGTACAATGTTCTCTTCATTATTATAATATTACGTAGTACAGCAGCTTTTGCAAGTTTATATCAATTTTTGTATGACAGGTACTTTAATATAGACACATATTATACCTAATATCAATAGAAACATGATAAAAATAGGTACCTACTGTGATAATAGCGAAAATGAATCAACGTGTATGGCAATAATATTAGCGGTAAACCAACTAAAAAAAAGGCGAACATACATGGGTGGGCCACTGTTGTAGGTGAGAAGTTGAGAACGTAGGGTATAGAGGAGAATTTAATGTAATTTTGTAAGCAACAATTAATCATTTCTAATGAAAAACAACTCTGAATGGAGTTCGGTTTTACATGTTTTAAAAGGCCTTAATGTTTATGATTTTCGTAAAAATTTGATACAAAAATCCTTACATAAAAAAAAAGACAGACATACTTCGCACGTGGGTGCAGTCACTGTTGTAGGTGGTAAGTTTAGAAGGTAGGCTACAGATGAGAATTTAATGTTTATCTGTAAGCAACTATGAACCATTGCTAACCTAGCCGAGTTCAGTTGATAATATTGCTTTGTCAACAATACAATATATGGTATTATGTCATATTATGATAAAATAATTAAAACAATGTGCGTTTCCATGACAACAATGATTGTTTAAAAAATATTAAAATAATAAAAACTTAATAATAACAAAAAATGAATAAAAACGGTTGCCAACGACAACCTTATTTTTAATCTTTCGATTTGTTTTAACCTAAATACCGAGGTTTTACTCGAATATTAATAAGAATTTCAAAAAATTACCTCTTTAAAGTAAAACCCAGAAAAAATTTCCTTTCAGAAAAGATTCTATACTTGATAATCAGGGTATGCTTTCTGGTAGAAAAAATGCTCACATAAAAAAAATAATCATCATTGTTAAATCAATATATTCCTCGCATCACTAAAAATCTAAAAAATAAACTTTTATAATTTATTTTGAAATCAAGAAAATAGTTAACCAATACATAAAATATATTTACAGACACTAATTATTGTACTTTTTGTATAAATATTCTAAACATTTTTGGGAATAATAAATTAGGAAAGTATTTTTCATTCGCAGTATCTCATTTTACCTATTCGTCCAAATTGTATTTTAATTTCTTAAAGAAAAATCTGTAAATGGTGTGATATAATATAATATTATTATTTCGTCTTTAAAAACCTGAGAAAAAAAAAACCGTGTCTGAATCTATCAACCTTATGCCTGTATAATATTATACAATTAACAAGGTGATTATTTTTTTTTTTTTTTTTTTTCGATGTGCTTTTCCAAGTTCATTGTTGAAGGTCGCTGCTGTTGAAACATATTATTAAGTCTGACATCTGTCCTTTGTAGATAAAACATAGGAAACTGTCATACATTGTTAATCATTTTCATTAAATGATTGCTAGTTGCCATTATAAGGGGACTTTCAAAATGTAATATATATTATTTTGGCTACCATCGGATGTTTAATAATAGTATAAGCAATTATGAGTAAGGATTACATCACAATAATTTTTGACGTAACGCAATATTATATTTATTTATTTATTTCAGCTAAATTAATCACAAATTATTAATTACAATAAATTAAATTAATAATAATAGCTGATACGTATACCAACTGAGCTAAACCTCTTATCTAGTATACGGAGTTCATGGATGTTATTCAATATATAATTATTATTGATATAGTTATTATTTATCCAATTAAAAATACAACTCAATAAAATAAAAGTAACATAGTAGATGGGTTATTTTTTTTTTGTAACGGATAATTTAAATTTGAAATTAATCAGCATAGATAAGAAAATATATTATTTTTAAACATACTGTACTAATCATTGAATTAATACACACATTCTCATCAAGTACATTAACTAGTTTATTGATTATCATTTTATTAGATTTATATTAATTATATCATTGGTATTATTAGATTGAATTTCACATAAAATGTGTATTATAGACTTTTTACATCATTATTTAATTTGTTGAGTATAATTTTACCCATGTTTTGGAGGGAGGATCTTGAACTGGTTAATAATTTAAATGGCAGTTTAATGTATTTTCCCGTTTTTCTGTATATATATATTCTTATATCTAAAGCGTTAAGTGTGTGGTTGGGAATGGTTTTTATTAAAATTTGCCTAATGTAGGTATAGTTTATAAACAGATAAGATATTTGTATAGTTCAATATTTCCCCCGATCGAAATTTTAATGGAAAGAATACGCTACTTTTACAATAATTTTTTTGAGAATAGTGTGCAATTAATTAATTTCTGTTCTATTAGTGCCTCCTGCTCTCCAGCATGTTATGCCGTATAATAGGATTGAATTACACAGTGCGCTATAAATTTGTCTTATAATTGATTTATCAATAGAAATCGACTTTTATAAAATAAAACAGTTAAGCACCTCATTTTGTTTTTGATATTTTGTATATTATCTTCTGACCATTAAAAGTCAAAATCTATAGTCAATCCTAAATATTTAAAAGATAATTTTAAGAACATTTTAATTGGTTTACAACTGAAATTTATCATATCAGTTCCACATGTATGTATAATAAAGTTGAATCCAACAGGAAGTTGTGAACGAATTGTAACTATTGGTATGCATACCGATTTATTAGTATTAAGCTACAACAGATTTTTTTTCCCATCCAGTCATAGATACACCGTAAATCGATTTCGACGGTGTGTTTCAATTTTTCCCAGTTATCGGCAAAATTAACTAGTGCTATATTATCAGCGAACATAAGTATGTAAAATATATACTATATACGTATAGTATAATTCACAAAATGAAAAATATTTTATTTGAAAAAAAAAGAATATACATAATATTATTCGGTCGTCAGAATGTGGCTAGGTAAGTTCTTAAATTTCTGTTTAACCAGTCGTTTCATTACAATATTGTAAAAACAAATTCTGTTCTAATTTTTGTATTAGTTTAAAAAAATAAATTACCTGTTAGTATATAAAACGAAAAAGTAAACATATAATATGTAAGTACACTGTATTTTTTAATTTTTTAATAAAATACACGGTAAATGAATAGGTATCATAGACTAAATGATTTTTCATTTTCTTAGATGATGTAATTATCGATATCATAAATCTGATATTGCATACTACTTAGGTATAGTTACTACTTGTTGATTTTTTCTTTTCCATTTTAATAAATATACCGCAGTGGTTTATGCATTAATGCATTACATACTATAATATAGCGCCGTGATATTCGTTGCATAATATTACGGCGACTATCTATTGTATTATTAATATATATTTTTAAATATAAGAGCGATGATAAATTATCGTTGCATACAAAAAAGAAAAAAAAATAGTCTTCACAGTGAAAAACGGTGTTCGGCCCATTGTAATAGTAAACTAGGTTGGAGTCGTTTTCAGGTACTTTAAACAAAAACATTCTATATTTATTTGATGATTTTACACAATGTTTTTTAATGTTTATTGATTTTCTATTTTATTTTTTTTTTTTAAATAAAATTTTCATCGATTTGTTGAAATTTTATTCGTATCTTGTCGTCGATTCTTCGCCGGACAAACCGGGTTTCTTTACGGATGAGGACGATCTCCGAATTTGGTCCTCATTGTTATAAAACAAACATTGGCTTTTCGGCACGTACTTGTCCACAGTTTTCATAACTGCTTCAGGAAAATCTCCGGCTACCAATCTTGTTAAAACAAAATCACAACACAATAATTATTATAAAATATACCTCAATGCATAAATAATATAATATAAATGTATAGTATTTCATCCATACTGTACTATATCCTCTGGGAAACTGCAATTCACCGACTGAATAACGTGATACAATTCCGAATCAATCTCTGGTGTAAGATTCTGAATCCTTTTTAATTGCCCGTTAGTAATAAAACTTCGGCGTGCCTTAGAGTTATTCGGTAAAATCTGTAAAATATTTATAATATAATATATGTAATAGGTGTATATGTATAGGTGTACTCTGTATAGAATGATTCACTAAGCGTAGGAAATAACCTCATTTTTTTTTTTTTTTTTGTTATATTTTGCATGTATTCAAATTCTGATTTTTGGAATTAAGTATGGTTAAAGACGACATTTTCGAATACTTATATTTTTCAGAACATCTAAGGAGTATCTTTTAACAATATCAACTTTAGTTTTCAAATGGGAACCTATATTAAAAATTGCATAAATATACAGGCTGTCCCATGAATATATACCCCTTGAATAACTCCCGAGATAATATAGATAATTAAATTCTGTTTTTAATTTTACTCACGGAGATGATCAAATATCATTTCTACACATATCTAATTCTGAATTCTTTTTTTTTTTTAGTAAAGAAATTTAAAAAATCAATTTTTTATTTTATGTTTTCAATACATTTTAAGACAACCAAGTTTATTTTTCTGAAAATTTTAATGTACCACACATTTATATCCTATAAATGTTTTCTAAGTAACAGCAGTTTTAAATTTTACTAATCTGTGTGAAAAACCGATGTTATCGCGTAACACGGTTGTTATTCCTTAGATGCTAAACCTATTGTATCCATATAGTTAGATAAGGGTGTACCTTATAGGTAAATACTTTATACTTGATTTTATTTTAAATATTTGAGAGCATTTGAGTGTTTATTTATGTACCTAGATTCGAGTATTATATAATATAATATTATACAGTTAAATAAAATATACCTTGCTTATTTTATCAAGTACAAACTCCATCATTTCAGCATGAGATGTCGACATCAATAATTTTTCTAGAATTTTATAATCTTCGCATTCTTTTAATATTTGTTGAATTGATGATTTCAATTGATGCTTGCTTTCGTTTTCTAAACTCGGGTCCATAAAAACCTGAATGAATAAAAAAAATATACATATTTGGGAAAAAAAAAAAAAAATTAAAAATAGGTCACTCAGTTCAAAATACTCTTTTAAACAAAATAAAATAAATCTTACTTCAATCATAGCAGTTAAAGCACCACAATCCCAAATATACCTCGCATGTTCATGACTGTGTTGCCCTATCATGCCTAATGTCCAAATCACGCTTGCTTTAACGTGTCTGTCGGTATTGGGGTCTTTTAAAATATCAGTCAAATGAACCAACGCCTTAAAATAATAAATATTTATATAATTATTATTATTACATGTATGGAATAATACCCGTAAAAACAAAATGAAATAAAAAATTTATTATAACCTTATTAGTCTTGATTATGGATAATGCGAGTACTGGTGACATGGAAGCTATGAACCCCAATGCCAATACGGCGGGAGTACTAGAAAATTCTTGACTACACGCGATTACATTAATCAACGCAGGTAATCCTCCGTTGTTCACCACCATTTGAGCAATCTGTATAATAGGTAATAAAAAAAAAAAACATCGATTATTTCGGAGGTTTTAATATGCAGCGGTTGAAATGAAAATTCAAGACTATTACAGCAATAGGTAAAAAATAAACTGTACTATTGTATTGCGTACTCAATGGCGTGCACAGGGGAAGGAGTAAAGGGTTATATCCCCCTCTCCATAGCATTAGAAAAACTTAAGCTATTAGTGTTTCTTTAGTATGTAATTTAGTCTTGAAATACATACATTCAATCAAAGTTACAAGGAAAAACTTGATGTATTGAATACAAATTGGCTTTTTTGGATCCGAAGTTTAAATTCTCATAGTCAAGTTGAACAGAGAAAAATATTCTAATTCAGACATGCCTCATGATTATTATTTGCTGCATTCCCTCACGTTTAAAATGCCTGGGCATGCCACTGTACCTATATGCTACACTGCTATGTAGTATTATTGTGATCATACTTGTATGCTATGTCTAACCACTTCGCGGATAACTTTGGCTGCGTTGCTACGTATAGATTCGGTCGGGTGCGCCATCAACAACGATAAATCCGGGAACAAGTTCGACTCTATTGCGGTTTCGGTTAAGAACAACGAATGTTTGACAATATTTTTGATTAGTGTCAACGCATTCCTCTAAACGAGAAAATAAACAGTATTTAATTATCAAACTTTTAGAGATAGTTTTGCTAGATTAAAGCCCAACAAATTTCCGTTAATGTAATACACAATATATACTTACACAATTGTATGTTTTATAATATTTGTTGAATTTTTTTGTTTAAATTTCCGGACATGCTTAATTGAATTGTGTTAATTTAAAATACTCATAATTACCTATTATTGAGTTTTGAGTGTTACTACCTATATGATTTTGTATTAACTTAAAATGTTCTACTAATATTATAAATGCGAAAATTTGTTCGGGTATATGAATGTACCTATATATGTTAACACTTCTCGCCTCAATTACTAAACAGATTGAGCTGACAATTTTTATAAATGTAGTTCTAGATCTGGAATAATGTATAAACTACTTCCTCCCCTCTTATTCAACCCCTATTTGGTATTTTGGGAACAAAAATCGTAATATTTTTGTGTATTTATCGGTTACCTTGGTGCTGCATATGAAATTGTAAAAAAAAGTTAAAACAAACAAAATTTAAAAATAAATAATAAGGTAGTCAGTGTAATAATGGCTTATTCAGATTATGATATTACTATATTAATTAATGTTAATAGTATAATGATAATAATTGTTCTATTATTAATTTTGATATGGGCAATGCCGAGCAGAGCTAGTGTATACATTGCATGATAGTTATGTTCTTTATTTCTGATAATAAACTTATTAAGTACTTAAGTAATAAGAAAACGATAAGAAGAAGAATTTATAAGAAAATAGAGTTTTACAATATGGAAATGTATGAATTACGTATTGAATAATATGATAACTATGCGAGTAAAGTGATTGTCTTTGGTATTGGTTTAAATTTTAAATATTGGTTTAGAAAAATGTTATGAAAAATGTCTAATAGTTTCCCTGAATGCATTCATACATATATATATATATATATATACATTTTATTTTAGATTCTGAGCGGAGCGAGGAATTTATTGGTTTTACAATGATGTTTATCTGTAAACAACTTTTCTACCAAAAATTTTACTCCAATGTATCAAGTATACATCTTTACTGATATTTTAGGGAGGTAATTTTTTGATTTTCCCAGGAATTTTCAAAACAAAACAGAAAAACCGGGTGAAACATAGGAAAAACAGGAAAATGTACGAAATTTATTATTTTTAAATCGTAAATATTATGGCCTTTCAAAACATGTACAACCGAACTCTGCTCAGAATCGTTTTGGTTAGCAATAATTAATACATACAGATACACATTAAATTTCCCCTCTACCTTCCCAATTTATCACCTTCAATAGTGGCCTACTCATCGTGCGAAGTATATCCGGTTTTTTTTTTCCATTAATATTATGTACCTGAACTTTCCCGTCCTTGAAACTTTCTGATAAAAATTGTATCACGATTGGCAGACATTTTACCTCCACAACTGAAAGGGCCAATTCTTGATTGTATTTAGCTATTTCGGCCAGTGCGGATAAAGCGTAAAGTTTCAAATTTTGTTGTTGTTCTTTTAAACACTGGATAATTGGAGGTAATAATCCTGTAAATAAAAAAAAAAAGAATAATATGTACCTGTAATAATAGTAGCTTACCCACTGGGTAGGTGTTTTATGTTATTCAACAACATCCTCCGCTGTATTCCCGTCTAAATAAATTTTAGCCTTTTTGGTAGATGCCCAGTGTCGTGCTCAAAGGGGGATGTTAGGTATTATATGCCTCGCTCCTATTGGCTTAAAAATACCACAATTGCTAGTGTTTATTTAGTAATTTTATTGAAATTTTATGTTTTAGCCAAATTATAAAGAAAAAAAGATTTGTTAATTTTTTTGGATCTTTTTTTAAATTTTCAACACAAGATAACACAAGAATAATATTCTACAATATATTTATAAATCATAATTATTTGCTACGTCTCATTCCATTTTAAATTCCTGGGCACGACATAGTAGATATGTAGGGAATACTATACAAATGATTTAAACACTACAGGTTAGTATTTATATAAAATTAATAATTTACCTATACCTAATAAAATAATTTAGGAAATTATTTAAATAATTATTATACTATAAAATGTTCAATAAATTACCAGAGTTCACGATAAATGTTGCAATATTGACGTCTTGTCGAGTAATAGAAGTGATCGCCAGCAAAGCCGATTCCCTGACGTTCACATCGAAATCTTTCAGGCATATCGAAATGGCATCCAACCCCCCGTATTCTTTAATTAGACTTAAAGTGTTTGACGAAAAGTGTTTACTGATATTTTTAATGAGACTCATACAATTATTTTTGTAATATTTCTATAAAAAAACAAATGCATTAAAATATTAGGTTTAGGTAGGTTTAACATTTGTATAGGTTTAGAGTTGTGTTTTTTTAATAATTCAATCGATTAGGTGCATATTCGAAATTATACTATTATTATTCATATTCATAACTATTATTATTAGTATTATTATATACCTATTCCTTATAATTTGTAACCGATTCTAATAATCTCGTTGAATTAAAATAGACGTTTACTTTTAAATAAGGTATACACTGTACATACGTTATGAGTATATTGTTATAATTATTTAATTTGATTTTAAGTCCACTCAAATAAACTATAATATTGTAATCGAGAGTGTTATTTAAATCGTACGATTAAAAATGATTATTGGATATTTGATGGGTACGCATAATTATAATAATGCATCAGCACAATATACATAATGCACACAATGTATATAATATTATAGGTACGCGTTCCTTGTTAACAGTAACATGTCCAAGAATTGTTCGATTATAAATAGGTATATTTTATACGCCCAAGTTTCAAAACATAACTCTTGCAATCCGCGAGTGGTATCTCACAGCGAACACGTGATTTTCAAATTAGATCGTTAATAGTTTTAAATTAAAACAATTAAATATAGTAGTTTAAATCGGCGATTGATAAACATAGGCGTGTCTAGAAAAGATTCACAGATGCGACAGAGAAAAATGGTCATGAAAGATGATCAATGAAATGAAGTCATTGCCATTTTAAGACATTTTAAACTGTCAGTATTTAATTATCTACCCGTATAAAAAAAAAAAAAAAATAGAGTTCTACATTCTCTCTTTTCCTAACTCAACATGTTGAAGAGTCGAATATGTTTCTTGGACAAGCCTATACGCTAATAAACCACCCGAAAATGTATATATTCTTCACAATCTCTCAATAATTGGGAAATCGGGCCTCTAAAATTTCGCCAAGTACTATGTAATACCTATTATAATATGCGTATCATATAGATACTATAAGTATTGCGGTTTTTTTTTTTTTTTTTTTTATTGCTAAATATAAATCACTGTGTGTGGGAAACTTGAGCCCTCCCGAAAAAAAATATGGGCTTTCTGCGCGTATCATACTAATCGTACGTACGTTTTCCGTGTCGATTTTTCCGAATAGCCGTTGCAGTTGATTCTTCGAACACATTATCTGTTTGGTACTCGGTTCACTGTGATTGGCCAACCGGGCCAAGGTCAACACCGCGTTCATTCTTACGGTCGGATTCATGCACGTCACCAGCGGCATTACAGTCTCCACGGCACATATCTCGTACAGATTCTCGGCGTACGAGGACTTGGACGCCAATTCCGCCAGGTTTTGCACGAATTTCAACTGACTTTTTGCGAAATCTTCAAAAGCTATAGGTAGAGGCAGTTCTAAATGAATTTTATTCGTACTTGTCACGATTTTATTATTACCGTTTTAATTGTTATAACACTAGCTATACGGTAAGTATACGTTACAATTATAATACGTTACTTTGTTGGACGACTTTCGGGTGCGAACTCATACTACGCCCCTTATTGTACATCAAAACGCGTTGAAATCTTTTCTTGAAAAATATAACATATATATATATATATATACATATATATTTAAATAATATAAATCGCTGTATACCAGTTTATTTTTGTTACGATGGTTACGAAAACAGTGCAATAGCCATTTCGTATGAGCTATAGGTTTTGTCGTACGTGCATAATAAGAAAATGTATTTTATTTGTACAGGTCAGTTCGGAAATCTTGCTCCGATGCATACGCGTAGCGCCATTTTCGAAAAGAAATATTGTTCAGATGGTACTTTTGGAAGGTTAGCATTTTGTTTTTCCAAGCGTTTTCATAATATCAGGGAAAAACCAGAATAAAACGTAAGAAAAACGGGAAACGTTTTCTCTATTAACGCGAGTGCATTAAATATCTTATAATCTCAGAATTATTATCAAATGTGTATGTTACGCCGAATTTGTGAATTTGCCCATTTCGTGAAACAAGCAACGCCGTTGTCGGTCACGTGAAAATCGGCAAAGTGAAAAAATATAATAATTATGTATGTTTCAGATAACAAAAAAAAAAAAATAAATAAATATTCCAATTTTGTACACAACATGATGTCTACTGAAATTTAAACCGAATTAATACATTGAATTAAGAAAATTGATCGTAAAAAAAAAAAAAAATCGATTAATATATTAATTTAAAAAGTTTAAGACTATTTGATTACGACTGATGGATTTGACGTGATTAATCGATACAATATTTGTAAAATCAATATATTTTTAAAAAACGAATATTCGAACGGACCGTTCGCCGCGTAAAACGCACGAACCGCCCAAACATCGATGGGGTATGTAAATATTATAGATCGTTGGTACGTTGTTTTATTCAGACGGTAGGAAACCGGTAACGCCGATAAGATAAAATGTTTCATGCTCAGGTAACGCGGGTAACTTGGCCCTATAATTATTGTTGTTATTATACACGGTGTGAGCAATGACGGCGTCATGCGGAAAATACAATGCGTACGGCGGTTGTCGAAATAATTGGAAATTCCGGTCGTCCGACGTCCGCACTTTTAACACCGGATTAACAGTGTGTAGCGCAACGCCCGATCCGCGCGATCGGCAAAACGTATCGGCCGATTTCGTGAAATCGGCAGACGAGTTTCCGATTGCGCGCGTTCGGCGACGAATATTCACACGTTCCGCGCAACATGCGTAACGCACGAGCCTACTGGACCGTCGTGCTTTTGACCGAGGCCCGCGCCCGCGCGCGCGTAAAACGAAACGAGTAGACGGGCAGTTTCGCGCTCGTTTTCGTTTTCTCTCGCCGGACATCGCATTTCGGTAGTTTCGCGCGCTTGTAATCGTTGAATATTTTAACGGGTGGGTTGCGCGCATCATACGCGTACGCGCGTCTGCCCGGCGTTATTGGTCGGCAAACTCGCAACCTCGTCCCGTCGCCGTGGCGCGTCACCGCTCGTACGCCCGAGTGAGACGCAAGCGCACGGGCCGTTGCGTAACCGACGACCAACGCCGTGCAGGCGCGCGCCGTTTGCGAACACGGTCAATGTGCACCGAAAACGCGCGCGCGCACGCGGTAACGACAAATAACGACGCTACAGGGTTTACAACGCGCGCGCGGCGTTACAGTGTCGTGGCGCGGGTAAAAACGGAACGGGGCACCGGAACCGACGGCGGACGGACCGCGCGTTAGAAAAACGTCCCGTCCCCCTCCCGCTCCCAACCGTCTGGAATTGTGACGAAAACGCCGTCGACAAAATGCCGGGGACACGGCGGTTTTTATTCGCATTATCGTTATTATCGACCGTTGTTATTGTTCCTTATCAAACCAGGAAGACGCCCGCGACCGCGACCGCGTCTTATCTGTAGAGTATCCCGTCGGTCCGTCGCTCTATATATAATTAATAAACGTTGGCGTTACGGCACAAACATTTTTTTTTTTTTTTTCTGTCTCTCTCCGTCAACAGCAGCGGCAGCAGCAGCCGAGGGCCATTATAATGTGAATGTGCACGGGCGTGTGTTTGTGGTACGTGCGTCGTGTGTGTGCGCGTTTTCGGTGCTCGCTTGTACGTGCGTAGTTGCGCAGACAACCGCAAGCGTGCGTGCGCGTTCGCCCGTCATTTTGTTCTCAAGTACCACGGTCGGTCCCGATTATTATTATTATTATTATTTTTTTTTTTTTTTTCATTCCGCTCGTACCAAATATTTTCCGTTTTCACTTTTCGCGAAAACTTCACGTCCCCACGGTGTCGTCGTAGTGGTCAGCTGCACGTCTTGGCCGCCGATGGACAATAGATCCGCCATCGTCCAATCGACGGTACTCGATCCGACGGTGACCACCGCCACCTCGTCAATTGTCACCGTACCCAACAATGGTTGCGGCGTTCCGGAATGCCGGAAGACAAATCACAATTGGTGTTGCGGCACCGAACAGTGTCCGATGTGTCTCAAGTTTCGAAAGTCGTTTCATTGCACAACGTGTGTGGAAAACGGGGATTTTGGCCACTCGTCGGGGTCCGTCGACAAGCAGGGAAGGTCAGCCATATAATAATATATTATAAACAACACATAAAGTCTGCTAAATTATACGTGATACAGTTGGGCATATATCCAACAACCTGGAGAAATACCCATTTAAAAAAATATAGATCCCCATTTTTTAATTTTTTAAGTTATTGGTAGGTACACATAAAAAAACAAAGCCAATATATATATTTAACTCATTTTGGATAGGTGACTGTTTAATTCCAAACAGTTTTTATATAATTAATGTCATAGTGAAATGTATAGTCTCATAAAATTTGGAAATCCAATAGGTAGGTACATTTACCTATTATATTGTCCAACAACATTATATCTATGGAAAAATTCAATTTTTTTTTTTTTACGAATAAAAATAAAATAACGTTATAATTATTTATCGAACCTATTTGGTCATTTTTTAAAATAATTACTTTTTATACTAAATACCTGCCCGCCTAATCTTACTTATTTAATTATTAAAATTTATGGTAAATAATAAATTATTTGACTATAACATTAATTTATTTTATTTATATGTCTATAGGTTTTCCAAAAAACAAATGAAATATCAAACTGTTGTGTATAGTGCTAATTTGTTCAAAAATGATTGTACGAAAATGTTTTCAAAAAGGCAAAGCACTACTTTAAAGGTAACCATACAAATTAACTAACAATTATTAGGTATCTGCCATGTTTATTTTATTTCTACAGAGTGAAATACATACCAATTTTTTTTTCAGAAAACTGAAGTTACAATATTACATGACAAAATAAAATTACTAAAACTTGCCATAGCGGACAAAAACATAATTTTAGCAGACAGTAAGGATTTCCAAATAGAAATAAAATATACATTTGTATTTAAGTATATTAACTTGAAGTATCTATTATTTTTCCCAGAAAAAAATCATCTGAAAAAATTAAAATTCGAAATAGATAATCAAAAATCAAGAGTTGATCGGTATGAAAAACGTGTAGTTCGTTTAGAAGAATTTACCAAAAGCCAATCATCTGTTTTAAATGAAAAAACTAATGAATTATTGACCATTAGACCAAGTTTAAAAAAACTTATTCAGACACGAATTAAACAACTAATTTGCCATATTTTTACTTTAGATGAAGTAGTTCCAGATAATTTGTTGTAAGTAAAATATGTTCATAGTTAAAACTCTAAATACATAATAATACATAAGTAATTTATAATATAATTTAATAATTAATGTTAATAATATTTAGTTGCTTTTTTATATTGTTTACAATATAGCACATAATTACAGTATCTAAGTGTTTTAAAATAATAAATTATCGTTATTATTCAGGAATGAAAAACTAGATGTCAATACTAGTTCAAGTAACCTTACTTATGCGTTAGCCGAAGCTTCAAAACTTACATATGTTTGTGGTCAATGGGTTGATACATGTGATGCTTGGTCTAGACAAACAGAACTTGGGTATCGGATTGTTGCACCCACATTACCAGCAAATGGAGACTACTCTTCTTATAATGAATGGGGTTTATATTTAAAATAAATGTATTTACTTAAACTTTAGTTCAATCTAATAATGCTATTTTCATTTCTGTTTCATTTCCAGTTTCAGATAAGAATAGGGATTATGCATTTCAACAAAATTTTAGTGAACCTAATCCTGCGTGTACAATAAGTGCGGCTTTGACATATACATCACAATTAGTAAAGCAACTTTCCTTTTTCCTAGACATTTTTTTACCAAGGCGTCCAAATTTTAGGTAATGCATAAAATTAAAAATATTAGTTATTAAAATATATACTTATTTTGTCTATTTTCAGTGAATTTTGTGGAAATGAATTAAACGAAACCAAATTTTCAAAATATGTTACCCTCCTAAATGCAAATATTCTTTACTTGTGCATTAAACAAAATGTTGACCCTAAGTTATTACATGCTGATCATACACTGAAAAATTTGCTGCAACTTTTAGACACTTCTGTTAGTGATCTAGGAAGGTAAATTCGAAAAACCTAGGCCCTCCGCACATGAGGCGATTGCAACGCGACAACCTATGATTATTATTATCCTTGTTTATTTATCATTCAAATTATTATTAGTAGTTTACTGATGTTTGCGTAGTTTTTTGGTAGACTTTTTTAAAATTTCGAGTTAACCTAGTGATGATGAAGTGATTGTTACGTACTGTTTATCGCCACTGTCGGCTTTTTGTATAGTGGCCAGAGAACTTCAATTTTTCAATTATACCAACAAATTTAATTTTAAATGCTTCCATTATATTGTATTAATAATACAATATAACATAGTAATATATCTATGTCTTTATTAGTGGATCCCCATTTATTTTGCTAGGAAATATGTCCCCTTGTGTGTGGAGAGTCTAAATTTTTTATATCAGTATTGAAATTTTTAGTTGTTTAAACTGTAATAATTTACACACACTCAAAAATTAATTTGTGTATTTCTAATTATTATATTTATATTTATTTTAATACTAGAATTGAACCACCAGATATTGATAGTAAATTGTGTAATGTACTTGAAGATAAAATAAGTTTTAAATTATTTTCATGTAATGTGGACTCAGATTCTGATGATGATAATTATTTTGAATGGGAATCCGTAAGTCAAATGATAATAACCAAACAATTTAAATTAGTAATAATTATATTATGCATTTTTGCCAGGTTCCTAATGTTCAATTAGATTCCACTCATACACAAATCTCTGTACAATCCACTAGTAGCGTTGTCAGAGCAGGTCTTGTGGCCAGTACTGCAGCGAGTATTGCTTCTATGTGGCGTGGTTGGACTAAATAATACATTTTATTGAGCAAATATTTTAATCTTTTTTTTATTTAATTTAAAATTATTCTTTGATCTCAAGAAAGTGCACTTTTGCTTATAATTTTTATTGTTCACATCCAAATGTTAAATCTATATCTGAAAAAATTAGGGTAAGCTTAAGACCCACAGAGATGTCAAGTCAATATTAATTATATTATAATTTTTTTTTTTTTTTAATAATTACAACAAGAATAGACACTTTTTTTTTGTTACCAGTTAATTATATATTACTATTATTATTAATTTTTCTTATATAATCTGTGCATTGTTTTATATTTAAAAATGTATTCTAATATACATTTATATTAAATTAAGTTTAATTTAGTCTTCACAATTTAACATTTATTATCATAACACTCATAGTATTAACAACAAATTTAATCAATTAAAATCTCAAATTCCTTTTTACACATAAGATTTATATTATTATTATTTGTATATATTATATTTACTGAAACATGTCTAATGTGGAGACATCAGAATTAAGTTTAAATGACTATTTAACGCATCAGTGTAATAAGAGTAGTCACAGTAGTTATTAAAAGACTGTGTTAATATCCATTTTCGATTAAATAATTTCAAATCTTACCATACTATAATTTCAATTCCATTGAAATGTTATGTGTATAATTAAAACTTTCATGATAAAATATTTATTGTTGACTCTGTGTTATATATATACCTAACTTATCTTCAGACGATGTGTTTACTAACTAATTTGATATTGTCGAATCTTTATTTTATAAAATATATATTGTTATATTTTTATTATTTGAAGACTTCAATTTACCATCAGCCATAAGAGTTGTCATATATTTATTTATACACATTAAATAAGTCAAAATCCTTTAGTGAAATAAAATATGTGACGGTGAACAATATTAGAAGTCCAATAACATTTCAATTTAACCAATATTATGACAATAATTAAAAATTCAACTTTTCAAAATAACAGATAAAAATATTAATAATAAAATTGCATTTAAATAATTTAAGTAAATATAACCAATGAATCGAAAAGAAAGAAAAATATAAAGTAAATAATATATTAATAATAGTAATAAATTAAAAAACAATTAAATTTTAAGCTCAAAATACATTTCGATTTAAAACAATTTGTGACTTTAAGAAAAATTCTATGTAATAAGGTTTGATAGTTTAAAAACTAGAGAGAAAAAAGTGGAACAATCAATATTTTTATAAAGGGGAACATGAATCAAATTTCCTAAAACTGATTTGTTATATTAAGGGGCCAGTGCAAGTTTTTCAAATTTTTTCCAATTTTGACGAAAAATTATTTTTAACATTTCAATTGCCGCCTTAAAGATAAGATTTTCAAACTAATCTACTACTTGATAACTATTTTAGAGGAAGGGGTGAGGCGGTTTTTACCAAAATAACTTGACAGAAATAGTAATAACTCATCAATTCAATATTTTCATAAAAGTAATTTTTATTTATAAACATTATACAGGCCACACTGAATTCAGATTACAAATAATGTAAATAAAAAAATGACAAGCAAAAGCTTAAAATTAATTTTTTTAAAGACTAAAATTAAATTAATTATAACAAAAAAAACAAATTATAAATGTTGAGAATAAAATACTGAAAAATGAAGTTCAGTGTGGTCTCTAGAATGGTTCCCTCTTTAATAAAAAAATAATATATTTTGTTGATTTTACTGAACAGTATCACTATTTCCATAGTGTATTTTTTGGGCAAAATAACATTGGCTAGATGCCTTAAACCTTATAGAAAGCAGTTCCAAAGAAAAAATCTGACTATTCAACAAGTCATAAATAAACATTATATCTGCAACTTTTCTTCTTACCTCACAAAATAACTGTAATTCTTTGATTCACAAATTTATTATACAGGTTCTTAAAAATAAACAATATATTAAGTTTGTAGCACACTAATTTAAAAATTTATGTTTTACATTTTCAATAAAACTAATACATGAGGTAGGTAACAATATTAATTCTTACTTTGATGAAAAATTATCATACTCAAATAAACAAAATTAAAAATAATGGTTTTACACTTAATTACATTTTAACAAATCCTACAATGTACAAAAAAATATAAACCTGTTAGTCTCAGTAAAACAGTTACATTCTTCATTGATGTTACTTTTAAGTAGGTATAATAGTATTGATATTTTACTTTTTGTTCAGTATATTTATACTTGTTATTTAGGTACAAATCAATTTTAAATTATTGATTTATATTTTTTATACCTATTAATAATGGAATATTTATTTTTTAAACAAAAGTTATATTAATAACAATCTAGATTTTATTTATAATAATATTAATCATTCTATTAATTAATTAGTTCCATTAACGACTAGATATAAACTATTGTATCCAGTATAGTTCAGTAAAAAATGTTTAATGCTTATAAAGCATTCTAATTTAAAAAAAATCAAACAACTTTGATCTCCATAATAGATTTTGCAATATTCACAGTAAATGCAAATGCTTAATTATTAAGACAAAGATTACGCAAATATTACATAAAAAGAACATTTGAAAACTTTTTATTGTAACATTAAAATAGGTAACATTATGTTTTAACATAATGTATTTTAATGGTGAAAAAACTGACAATAGAACTATCACTATAAATTTATTTAATCAGTATTTCTATAGTGTCTATAAGTATTAAGTACTTTAAGAGTATACAGCGTATTCAGAGACTATCCCATATTTTAATACTATATTGAAAAATAACCTGAAATAAGGTTAGATAAACATTACAATACAGTTCTTTGTTATGATTAGACTAAAGGAATAAAATGTATGCACTATTTAACATAATTAATTACCAAGTCTCTGTATTCTGAAAATTTTTTTTATGAAAATGAATAGTTAAATCATCGAAAAGAATAAATGTGTTATTTAAGGAATAAGCATAAAAAAAAGGTTTGATAGTTTCCTATTTTCGAACAAATCTATAATTCTTATTGTTGTTCATTGTCCCATAAGTACTCTGAGAAAAGTAGACAAGTGTAATTATTTACCTATAGTAAAATTATAGTTAGAATAGTTCATTACTGAGTACTAACTAGTCAGTCTAAATTTAATCATGCAATGTAACTGGCATGCATGTTTAACATATACTATTTGTGTACACACAAATTTGTAAAACTATATAATTATTTACATGGACATTAGACATATTAACTGGTTACAAGGCATTGACTTTTAAAAATGTTTATTAATAAAACTAATTATGAGTATGTCCTAAATGTTAAATCAACATATAACTATTTGTTGTTTGTAAAAACAGTGTATATAAAAATTATTTTTTGAAAACTACACCTAACTTGAACACATCAAACAAAAAAAAAAATACTATTTATATTCTGTACTGAAGAATAATAGTTATTGTTTAAAATAAAAATAAACAATTTCTATAATTTATGTAATTGCACCTTGTAAATTGATAAATATATAACTATAATATTATGTAAGATACAATAAACAAGTTTTAACATTGATGATATTAAAATATTTGTTTTTTTGTTTATTCAATTCTAACATTAACTAACTATAATATTAATAATAATTTAAAAAAAAAAACAAACAATAATTAGGAAATTATGATTCAAATTGAACTTTAAACATATTATAATGTATTTAAAAATATATTAAATTTCTCCACACTCATAACGGACAAAATCTAGTACATCTATTCCATAATATGTAGCTACTTCTGCAAATGTCATAGTGGGATCTAATAAAAAAGTTTGTTCCAACATTTCTTGGTGTTCAATTTCAATTGTTTTTTCATCCATTGATAATTCATTGTTTTCATCAAATGTTTTATCAGACACAGCCTGCTGTGATTTTAAGGGTTCTTGTACTTTAGCTAAACCAACACTTTTCGGATTCATACCTAAAAAAAAATATGTTTTATTTTATGGATAATTGGCATATTAGACCATAATTTATATCAAAATTTAATTCTTTCCTAGATTAATAAATGAACAAGGATGAAATAGTATGTATAGTATGTTAATAAGTAAATAGGATGATCTTAAATTATTAGATATTTCACTTAAACTCACCAGTATGGTAATTAAAAACTAAGGTAATAGATCAGTAATAGAGTCAAAGAAATTAACAAATTAACGTGGTCTATTAAAAATTATTTTTAATTTTAATACAACAGAAGAATTCTAAACAAATGTATTTTTGGAATTCACAAATGACATAGTATAAACTGAATGGAGATAATTGTTGTTTGATGATTTATCCATGGCTCCATTTAATCTATAATTAGAAAAATCAATGGAAAAAGTATGGAATTGTTGAAAAATAGAAGTATGTGAGGAATGTGTAATATTGATGTATGCAGATGACATTGTGGTAATGAGAAAGACAAGAAATGAAGTCATAAATACTAAATCTAAACTTTTGAGAGCACGTAATACCATATATCTGTAGATAAAGGAGTTAAAGACGAAATATTTAATGGTAACAAAAAGAAACTCATACATAAACCATATAATAGCAGATGATTGTAGTTTCAAGAAAGTGATATTATTTAAATACCTAGACATTAACATAAATAGCAACAATAATATACATGAAGAAATCAACGATACTATAGTTACTATAACATAATGAAATTACTTAAATCAAAACAGACAACTTAAAGACACTACTGTACCACAGCTACATACGAACAATGGTCACATAAGCATGCAAAATATGTTCAATGACTAAAGGTGAAAACAAACATATTACATTTGAAAGGAAGGTGCTCAGAAATATATATAGTTCAAGTTATAACACAGAGTTGCAAACATGAGAGAAAGAAAAATCATGAACTATAAGAGTTATATAACAAGCCAGATATTATATCATATAAAAAGGGCAAGCATCTAGATCAGGAGTTTTCAACCCGCAGTCCGCTTGCGACCCCCTTGTTATTATTTGTGGCCCGCGATCACATTTGAAATAAAGCATATATTTTCTATTTTGATAAAATTAGAATGACCATAAAAAAGAATTGGAAAATATACGATAAGATAAATTAAATTACCTACCTTTTTGGTAGTTGTTACACATATATTTTCACGAATGAAAATTGTTTTTTGTCCCTTTTTATTAGTTTTATATATTATTATTTGTCAAGTATGGAGAGTGAAGTACAAGTAATAAAAGAACTAAACAAAATAAACAAAACAATTTCCATTGGGAAGACCAAGAACCCCATGGGTGGATGTTGTTGCTTAGGCCATCAAAAATATAAAAAAAGACTTGATTTTTGACGCATATGATAAACAAATGGAAGTTTGATGATGGCAGTGATGGCTCTTAATAGGCCAACAAACTAAAGAAAAATAACTGTTTTGATAGCAGAGCCTAAAATATTCTTTAACTTAAGAAAACATATAAACTGCATTTACCAATAATATGTTGACACATTTGCCGAAGTATTTCATTGCAAGAACTCTCCTTTGAATTTTGATTAATTTTTTCACTGTCCGGTTGTTTCCGGTAAATTAAAAGGGATCCATATTTACCGGAATGAGAATTAGATCCTGTTGTACTAGGATGGGTAAGACCCATGACATTCAATCCAGTATCTTGAGTGTTTAAACACATAGCACGTCGAAGAGTAATATTTTCTCCAAGATTTCCTATTGTTATTGCAACATGATCAGCTAATGATTTGCCTTCAGTGCCAGATAATTTCATTAATTCTTTGCTCTCCAAATTTATCTAAAATCAAAAAATATTACAGGTACCCAATAATTTTGAAGTATTTAAATTGTATCCAAACCTTAGCAAAAGAATTGTCCAAAGCTTTTTGTTTTTTAGCATGATCTAAGCAAGAAAAAGTAATCACATCTACAATTGAATGAAAATATTTATTACGAGCTACAAAATCAGTTTCACAATTCACTTCAACCATTGTGGCTATTTCTTTTTGTTTATCAAAGGCCAATGCAATCACACCTTGAACCGTAGGTCGGTTGACGAGTTTGTTTGCTTTTGCTAAGCCTAATCTTTGTGCTTCTTCTTTCAACCAAATCTCTGACTAATAAAACAAATATAAATATTTAAGTATCTTAATTTAGGTAGCTAATTATATTAATTATTAGTCTTACTTTTTCTAAGTTATGATCATTTAATAATAAAGCTTTTTTACAGTTTTCAAACGGATATCCTGTCTTCTTTCGTAATTTTAATAATTGTGCTTTGCTAGATGACCAGTTTAGGCTGCATGTATGTATTCCTTTTGTTAATATCAAAGATCTTAACATTATGTTCTAATATGTGATATGATATTGAGTTTGAAATGAAAAGATAATTAACTTTTACTCGCCTGTAAAAATCTACAAAGTAATAACTATGTTAAATACATAACTTAAATAATATTAACAAAAAATTATATGAATTATAATTTTATCATATTAATTCTCAATACTGCGTTAGGGAGTGCCTAATTTGCTGAACTACTGAACTGAGGTCACTGACTAACTAAGCGCAACTAGTGATTTTATATCAAATGCTACCATTGAAGATTGCACTTGTTCAATATTTTGTTGATTTGTGGCGGTAGTTCAGCAAATCTATAAAATATGACCAGAAATTATGAAACTTTGTAAATGTAATTAATTCTACCGTATTTAAATAACATGTTAGTTTCTTACAAGCAATAGACAGCAATAGCAATATTTAAATGAATTGAAAACAATCATTTTAATATGTTATTACACTATTAAATCATAAAAAATTACTTAAAACCAATATTTCTAAAATTAAAAATGTTAATTAATCATAATAAAACTATACATTTTTGTAAGATAAGAAAAAACATATTTTACCCGTAACACCAATATGGTGTCAGATGTATCTAGAAATATTGACAATATTGTCAACTTAACAGTTGAGATCAAGAATAAACAGCGGAACGCGCACAATTATACGAATGTCAACTACAAATATTTTTCTTCACCTATACGAATCAAAAATGGTATCTAAGTAGTAAGTAGATGGGTCTATACTGCTATAGATATATGTGCAAGTATCGAGCCGTGCAATGTACATTATGATTTGTGATAGAAAGTTGTAAACGGTAAAAAAACTGCAGCAGTGATACCACATTGTATACCATAGAATATTAGTAACGTTGTCGTTTTGACGCTATGTCGTTCATTATTTGATATTGTTGTTACACCGTTATGGCGGCGATATCATAGGGCATAGATGATATTGCAAGAATTTTCCAGTCTACACTGTACCACATTATTCGCCGATAGTGTCTGATTGAACAATTGAATTCGCTCATCTGTCTACCTCCTAAACCTTTCTTGTTAATATTTAAAAACAAAAAGTTGTCAATTGAATTCGGCAAAATATTCGTCAGTCATCCGCGAGATTTGAACGCTGGTGAAACGTTTAAGACTCCGTATTCCAATACGTTCGTTTCCCTTTGTTTAGATTTTTATCAGTTCGGGCCGCCGCCACCGCCGCAGTCATTAGAACGCGTATGCACACACACTCACACAAACACATAGACACACACACAAAATCTCAAACACATAGACACACTTTGCTCTACTTATAAGTTACAACTACCAATAATTGTATAACGCAATCAATTTATAATATACTCTAATTCATATCTATTCAACATGTCGAAACTTCTATGTGCGATAATCACGGTCATCATATCGGTATGCTTGTTGGCTCTAATTAGCTGCACGAATGCCGATGGTCACGGTTCTTTGGAATTGGACGAGGATAACTGGAGTGACATATTAACCGGTGAATGGATGGTTTTGTTGTGAGTATAGTATTTAAATGACTAATTTGAATGTAAAAATTAATTATGGTTATGGGTTCATGGTTCAACACAACAATGGATGAGAATAAAGTACCTTGACTAGATAGAGAAGATAGAAATATTTATAACTCTTTAACAAAAGGAACGGAGTGCTAAGTTATAAGATAAATCCAATAATTAGACCAAATGGTAAATTATATAAAACTGATGAAACAGCATAGGTATTGGGCAACAGTAAAAAGAAAAATTGAGCAGAAGATAAAAATGCTTGAATGGATAAGTATTGGGTGGTATATAGAAAAATAGAATGGAGTATAAATGTTGCAGAGATGAAAACATGTAGATGGATACATGGAATGACAATAGAAGATAGGATAAAGAATAAGTACATTAGAGATAACTTAGGTATTACTTCGATGTGGACTACATGAGAGAAAATAGACTGAGATAATTTGGAAACATGAGAAGACGAATACGAAGTAGTAAGAATTTCAATACAAATATGGAAATAGATATGTGATGAAAGGTGGTTGGATGCAATTGAGAATAATATGAGGATAGTGGGTGTCGAGGACGATTTGGGGTTCAGGTCAAGTGGAAGTTTAAGAAAAGTGTGGCTGAAGAAGAGGTCTGATGAGTCACTAGAGACTATAGAACAAGGAAGTTGTTTGAATAAGTTAGCAAGGGATATCATAGATATTATTTTGATAGTTCATATGAAGATAAGAGAAAATATCATAAGATGGTTTGAGCATATTGTGATGAGAAAAAATAAGACATTGTATTGTTAAAGAAAAAAGATGAGGGAGATACTATTAGAATACTATAAATTCTGATGGGTTGGTAAATTTCTTATGAAATGACTTGTTTATTATTTTATTTAATGTTTATATATGTATATTGCATATGAATGGTGTTTGTTGTTAGTTCTTTGCTGTGTTACGTAATTTATCAGATATTTAATTTGCTGTCGTTTTGTGTTTGGTTTACACAAATTGTTCTGTGTTTTTATTTTAACTGTAAATAAAAATTCAGAACTGTGTTAGATAGACTGCGAAAACAAATAATAAAGATTTGTTAGTTTTTAATAGCTAATGCCCGAGACTTAATATGTTAATAAACATTTAAATATTCACTTAAAATTGTTTGAATAAGTACACATTATAAAGATGGCGTTATATCCGCATTTACTGTCTCAACCCAACTACTGGGTAACCATGTAAAAACAATGCTTACGCAGAATAAGTAAATCTAGCTAATTTTTGATTTTAAAGTAAAAGTACTTATTATGAAATGTATAGAAAACAATATATTGAAGCGAATGTTATAGGTATTTTTTTGAATTATAATCTATTAAAAATGTTACAGTTATTTAAAAAAATAAAAATAAAAGGTTTTTATATCGAACTGTATATTTTGAATAATACAAAAACTCTACTACATTCCCTCCAAAATATTGTTCTCTATAAATTTCATTATAGGTACTTTTACTCTAAAATCAAAATTAAGCTAGTTTTACTTAATCTATGTAAACATTACTTACTTTTGCATGTTACCTGATAATTGGACTAAGAGGATATAATGTCCTCTTAAAAATAAAAATGTGATTGAATATAAGTATACACAAAAAAAAATTGTTTAGATATGCTCTATCAAAATATAGGGTATCCTACATGTTAAATGTATTTTTCTAAAGCTATTCAAAATTATTTTTTTTTTTATTTTCATTGTTTTTCTTTGAGAGGCATCTATTTAAAAAAAAAAAAAAATAATTTTATTTCCATCCCTAAATCACTAAAAGAAAATAACGTTATTTATTCACTTAACAAAATTTTCAAGGAATTACCATGCTGATTGTGATTCTTTATCGGGTAATGTGTTATTCTATTAAAAATTAATTGCTTTTACATCTATTTCCTAGACATTAAAGGGCTATTACTAAGAAACGTATCAAAAATCAAAATTAAAATTAATTTTTAATAGCTCTAGACACATAAATATTATATATGTTCAAACAAATTTTAATTCATAGTTAGAAGTTATTAACATAAAATAATATTATATATTATGCTCTATCAACATCAAATTATACACTAAAGTAAATATATCTTGCCATTTTTCTTGTTAAATTGATAATTTTAAAAGTAAAACTTCAAAAAATAAGATTAATTTTGAAAATTTAACTTAATTAGTGCCTAGAAAAGTATACATGTACTTACCTACTATTAAAAACAATTTGGAAATTCTTTCTTTTTTTTTTTTTGTAAAACTAACAATTATTTATTTTAAAACCTTAAAATTATAATTTTAATAAGAAAAAGAAATAAAATATGCAATATAGATTAAATAATTTTAAATTTAGAATCCATAACAAGTTTGTACCAAATTAAAATTCTCCTATAAACTTCCCTAACAAATATCCAATTACATAAAGATGTTAGTATCAACCTTTATACCTAATAACTTTTTGTGAACAGTGTATAAAATAATTGAAATTGTATTAGTTAATTATTATGTTTATTGGTATAGATACCAATCTATTGAAAAATCAAATATTAATTTTAATAATTTTACTTAGCTTGTTATACAATAGACAATTTATTTGAATCAATATTTTCTTTTTAGCTATGCACCCTGGTGTCCAGCATGTAAGTCCCTTGAACCTGAATGGAGAGAATTTGGCAAATTGAGTGAACAACATTTGGATATTTCAGTTGCGAGTACTGATATAACTCTGTCACCAGGATTAACTGGTCGTTTTATTGTTACTACATTACCAACGATTTTTCAGTAAGAAAAGTTATTTCTAACTTAATTTAAATTTAAAATTGTTTTAGTTAGATAATGATCATATTTGTTGAACTTTGTATGTAATATTTGTGTATATTTTAATTAATCAATTATTTGTATATATTATTTCAAAAAAAAAATCATATTTATTTTGTAGTGTTAAAGATGGTATATTCAGATATTATAAGATGGGACGTGATAAAGAATCAATGATATCTTTCGTAAAAGAACGTAAATGGGAAAAATTAGAATCTATTTCCTCCTGGAAAGCACCAAACTCAATTCAAATGTCAATTTTAGCTCAATTTTTTAAAATGTCCCAAAAAGTTAGAGTGAGTATAAATATATCTGTTATTTTCTTATTCTTCAGGTTTATAGGCCGTTAAAGCCTATCATAACTCACTATTCCTCCCTATTATTTGAAATGCCTTCTAAGTTATTGACACCAAATATTTAAAAAATCTAATGTGTCAAATCAAAGATTAAAATATTTTCATGTATTTTTTTAAACAAAAATTAGGTCATATGAGAATTATTTATATAAAAAATTGCTCATAACTTAAATTAGTAGGTTAGGTTTTGACAAAAGTCAAAAAACCTATTTATATTTGTAAGAATTAAACATTAAATCACTCATTCTTTCAGACAACAAATTTGTGCACCTGCTCTCTTAAATCTTCTCATTAAAAAAGTCTGTACAATACATATTATTTAATATTTATATGGTGTTATACATTATTTATATCATAGACCTTAAACTAATAGACAAGAAACATATATAATTACAGTATTGTGGGGGCCTGGAAACATATTACAGTGATGTAGTACATCTTGACACTAGGTGTGCTAATTTTACCGTAATATGCTAATTCAAGTTATCATACACTTATACTGTGTGTATAATTAATAGTTATACTTAGGGAATCAATATAATTATATAGGCTCTCTAATTATACTATTAAGGAATGAATATTGTTCTTCCTGCGGTACTAAAAATTACTCTAATAGTTTTTGAGTCTATAAATCTCATACACACAGATAGATAGACATCTGTTTTCTTATATTATATATAGATTATAGATTACTACTTCATTGAGAATTATTTTTTTTTTATTTGAAATAATTTATTAAAACTACCTAATTAATTTTATAACAAACTTATTTTTACAGTCTTTAAATTATAAATATTTTCAACTAATAAACTAAAAAAATAAAACAGAAAGTAACATACTGACAAAAAAAAAACATTTACTTATAATAAGTTATGATTGGTATATTTAACAGAATATAAAATAGGTAAAGGATGGTGGATGATCAAATAAATATTGGGAACTGATACAATATTTTATAGATATAGAATACCTATTTAATAAGATAATCTTACAGTCACTCAATTACCGAAAAGGGCCTTCTATCTTTCTACATAACTGTTATTTAACATTTCCTACAATATATATATATATACCTGTATAGAATTATTACCCTTGAAGAATATACTTTGTTTACTTAAACTATTAAGATGTAAAAAAAAACATACACCTTGGCCATTATAATATGTATATGTAAAAACTAATATTTAAATTTATTCTTTATTAGATTTTGCATTCAGCATTGGTGGCTGAATATGGACTCCCAACATGGGGTTCATACTTGATATTTGCTATTGCTACAATATTTGTTGGCGCTGTACTGGGACTAGTAAATAGACTTGTGATTTTTGATTTATGTTACAATTTTAACTCATACAATTTTATTTTTTTTAGATATTGGTTTGTATTATTGATTTTATTTATCCTCCAAATCATCCAAAGGACCATTCTAAAGATAAAGATAAAGAATGCAGCGATAGTGGCCAAGAATCAGTAAGTTAAATTACTATTATACTCATGTTTACTAATTGTTAACTATATGTTTTTAACAAAATTACTTATTTTTTCAGGATGATGAACTTGTAAAAGATGAAATTATAGATGATCGAGATTGTGATGAACCAACTAAAACTGACCAAACATTAAAAAATAGACGCAAAAATCGTAGAACCGACTGATTACTTTTTCAAATAACCATTTCTTCAATACAATTCCATTTAAAAAAACTCATACCAATTAATGTATTATTATCTTTTCTAATATAAAACATTACTTTGATAATTATTTATCAGTTAATTATTAGGCTCACGACTAATTAAGTAAATATTAATATTGAAAACTTAAACAAAAGCAGTCAATTATTTTATAATTTATTGCTGTTTTAAAGAAATTTAGGCTTAAAGCATAGCTGAATGCTTCTTGCTTGTTCCTAAATGTTTATAAGTAGTCATTTTTATAAACGTTTTTTATAAGTTTTATTTATGTATATAGTTATAAATAAAACTATGATTCCAATCATTATTGTATTGTTGTATGGTTTATTTATTTTATTCTAAGTAAATTGAGAGTTACAATTCATTATATTTTATTGTAATAACCACTTACTATTACACACATTTTGATAATCTGCCCTGATGTTTGATATTAATATTAACATAATAAATTAATATATATTTATTTTTTTTTTCTAACCACGACTATTTACTAAATATTTTTTATTATTTCTTAGAAATAAAAAGATAAAAAAAATATCAGTAGAATTCTCCAGCTAAATTATTAGTAAACATTTGTTCCAAAAGAATGAAGAAAGAGTTAGTATTCATATTTCAAAAGGAGGGAACTGAAATTACAGTGAGAAAACATTTTTTTAGACTAGGAGAATTTCTAAACTAAAGTATTCTGGTTGTTATGAAAGATTAAAAGTAATATTGATACTTAACAAATCTATCTAGGTCTAATTAATATGTACAAAGCATGAATAGTTTGAGGTATGGAGAATCAAGTACATGTGTATAGATAAACTAATTATTTCACTGTTTGGTTTGTAGGAGTAAATTAGGTTAGTTTCAATTTGGACTTTTAATGTTCAAATTATTATATCTAATAATTTTTTTAATAAATGGAAGAAATGAATGATATAGATGCATCTAGAAAAGTGGGAAACAAATGACTGGATAAAAAAAAATTGTATTACCTAGTACTTACCTATAAGTAAAACAAATATAGACCATATATATTGTGTAATAATATGTAAAATATTGTGGACTAATGCAAATAAGTGGACAGAAATGAAAAGTATTGTATATGTATTTGCACGCACAAGAATAACAAGTATATTGCATTCGTTAATTAGAAAAAAATTAATTTGTACTACCTAAACTTATACATCCTTTATTCAATTGACTATAGATATTTAACTACCTACCAAGGACCTATGTATATACCTAGACAAATAGTACATTTGTATCCAAATTATGATTTATAGATAATGGTTTTTTATCAAATGACCAATAAAAAAAAATTGTATAAAATGCACAAGCATATTCAATATAATATAATACATATTATGCAGAGTTTACATAATATGTATCTACCGAATATAATTTATAATTGATTTATTTTTCGATATTCAGACATAGTTCCCATAATCCAAAAGCCGACATATCCATGAAAATTGGTCGAAAAATAAAAATTATTATTATCAATAGAGATATACCTATGAACAAAAGTTAAATTAAGTTTAAGTAAGAAAATAAACTATTTTCAATTTGTTCTCATTCATCCCAGACTCAAGTCATAGGAATTAGTAGGTATCTAGAGTTCAACATTCAAAGGGAGAAAATTTTGGAAAAAAAAATATATGGTTTTTTTCTACTTAAATATAATAGTAATAGTTACTAAGAAAAGTTTGTTGGAGACAATAATACATTATTTAAAATGTGCGTAAAACAATGGTATACCTAACCAGTTTATTCGGGGCCGTCGGGATTGGCCACTATTACGATTTACCAGATTCTAGAATCAACGGCTGCGATAACCACAGCGATAGCATATGTCCCTAAATGGACTGGCTACTATGCTGGGGGCGGGTGCGCCGGGTGGTCGTGTACTCGTGTGTGCGTTGGTGATTATGGATTATTGTGTATCATGCGCGCGACACTGCGGCGGCGTCGTGTGCGTACGCGCGAGCGTTATTATTGGCGAATCGCCGACGCCGTCGGAACATAATAATTTCCAAGGTTACCGTATACCGCGCGTTGACCAGCCGAGACGCCACTTCGATCCCTCCCAGCGAGTGTGTAAGTGAGTGACTGCGAGTGAGTGGGCAGCCACAACCGTCGCACGAGATAACGCCGTGGTCATCGTTCGCGACTGCGTTAGTGTAATAAAATTGTAAATATACCTAGTTGTGTGCTCGCGACTTAATACACTTTATGCTAACGATATTATAATACGTTAATAATTAATCGTTAAGTGTGTATTGTTGTCGTAGTCGATGCAGTATACAATCCATCCAATTTATAACAGCAATAATATCACTCGTTTTTCTAGATTGTCAACCCGCGAGCGCGCGCGCGCACACATCCTCGTCGTCCGACCACTGCAGCATTATCGTTATCGTCAAACTCGAATTTCGCGTTAGCTTTTCTCCGATCGGTCGTAAAGTCTGTCGATGTGTCCTACATGTCGAGAGATTATCAGATAAACAACTCTACGCTTGTAATCTTTGCCGAATATTGACACTAATGAAGAAAAGTATTATGTCTTTCCAACTGCCGTTTGTCTCTCCACGACTACATTGAGTGTACCGAGTGCTGTTTTTTTGGTATGTGACTTTGTGACTGACATGTGTGACGACAACAAACGACTGCTACAAAAGTCCGCTAATGGACTTGGTAGCCGTCAGGCTCCCGTTGGTGGCCACGCAACTACAGCGTACAACGTTGGCGTTCCGTTGGAGCAAAGCATGGACATAATCAATCAGCAGTGTCAAGAGATTTACGATCTCAGGACTCAGCTGAACCTAGTCATGAATGAAAGAGATATGTTGCTCAGCGAAGTCGGCCGTCTCAAATTTAATATGGAACTCTATGATCAGCGCATGATGGCTCAAGATACCTCCAGGTAAAAATAGTGCACATGATAAACATGTAGCTAAATGCCTACACGGAATTGGGTATCTAACTATATTTTTTTACATACTTACTCAGCATAGCTATTTAGATGTGTAAATTTTTTTGGCAAATAGTCCAATCAATGCTATATGTGTGCAGTGGAAACAGATTTAAATTAGGTATGAAATGTACCTATAGGTACCTACATGAAGTCAGTCAGGCCACTTTTAAATTTTAGTCCATAATTTCCGAATATTTGATCTGAAGATTTTAAGATGTACCTATTAAAAAGAACATAAGTAGCAGAGTTCCGTCATGAGTCAAATATTCACCCAACTGACTTTTTATAATATTTTATGTATATTTTTTTTTAAATTAAATATCTAACTAAAAGAAATTGAAAAAAAAGTTTTTAAAAAGTTTTAAAAATTAAAATACTTAACTAAAGTCAAAAGTAAAGTAGTTTTTTAGACTTTTGATAAGATACGAATATATATCGGCATCGGAAGTTTAAACTTTTTTTTGTCCATTGTCAACAATAATTCTGTTTGTGTACCTATACATATTTTAACCAAGTTTCTTACATTCATAAATCTTTAATGGTATTTAAAACCTTATATTTCATGTGAAAATATGAAATCTGAGTGTAAAAATGGTTGGAAATGAGGTTAACATTTGATATCATCAAACTGCACATCCTTGGTACTTGCATCATGAATGTATAAAATTTCATTTCCTGATTTCATGGTGTACAAAATCAAAAAACACCATTTTCTTGTAAAAACGTGGTGATGTTTATATTAATATTCAACCAAAATTGTAACACTTCAAACGGTCTGCCTATATAAAAACTCTAATTCTTGAGTTTGACTTCTTTTAATCCAGAGGAAGCCTATACAAGTGTCCAAATGTTCTAGAAAAAAATATATCTGAACATTTATATATTATATATATAAAAGAAAAAATACAGTGTAAACATCTTTATTTTTGGAAAAAAATCTAAAACTAAATTGAAAAAGGTGGCTTGACCAATATCATTTACATTTCATGCTCAATTCAATCTATCATTCTTAATTTCAGAATTTTTATTATTTTATAACATCCATTAAACTAGTTTCCAGAAAATTAATTTCAATTGTTATGTTAATTATGTGTTGAACCAGAGTTTCTTAACCTTTGTATTATGGTGGTAGGTACACTATTAAAATATTTCATACTTTGCGATACACAATAAAAAAAATAAGGATGGTAATAGATAATTTTATTTGGTAATGTAAACATAAAAATTACATAGAAAAAATATAGCATAAAAAAGCATTTAATATTTTAATAAGAAATTTAAAACTGGTATTTCTATTATAACATATTCATGTCGAGTGAAATTTTTAACAAAAGGACCCTTAATTTCTCTTTGACTTTAATTAATCTTTCTCTTTATTTGGTTTTTGTTTTGTTTAATGTAAAAAAAAGTTACCTCACACAAATATGATATTAAAAATGGTAATAACACAAATAAAGCAAATTTAAATAAACTTCATTTGAAGAGTGCTATCGTTTTTAGTTCTGCAAGTTCTTTCTCTATTAATGAACTATTAATACATTATATGTGAACACTTTCTACAAGAAATATACTCTGATTATCAAGTAAAGCACCTTTTCTGGAAGGAAATTTTCTCTGGATGGTACTTTAGAGAGATCATTTTTTGAAATTTTTATTAATATTCTAGATAATGAGAAAAACCTGGTTCTTTAGGTTAAAAAAGATTAAAAGATTAAAAATAACGTTGTCATTAGCAACCTTTTGTTATTATTAAGATTTTATTATTTAAATCTTTTTTAAACAATCATTGTTGTCATGGAATTTTTGTAATCATTTTACCATAATATGACATATATATTATTGACAAAGCAACACTATTAACTGAACTCCGTTCAGAATCGTTTTTTGTTAGCAATGATTTACTGTTACTTACAGATATACATTAAATTCTCGTTTGTACCCTACCTTCCCAAACTTCCTACCTACAAAGTGTCTGTACCCATGTGCAAAGTATGTTCGTTTTTTTACCTATACTTGTTATGTTTATGATGAATAACACATCTCCAATTATAACTAATGAAATTTAAATCCTTCATAAACCATCACACCTGGAAAAGTTAGGGGATTTAAAAGTGACCTGAGAAAGTCTGTGAGGGGGGGGGTGTTTTTTTCTGAAATTAAAAAAAAAATGTACATAATATTATTGTCTATTGCCTAATAATCTACCTACAACCCCCAACAGATGACAACAGTAAACAATAATAGGCATTCATAACAATTCATATTTTAAAATGTTCATAATATATTGATAATAATAATATATAATTATATAAATGAGCATATAAATAAAAATAAAAATTAACTTAACTTGTTTGTTTAAATATAAAATTAACACTAGTTAATTAAAAGTTAATTCTTTTGTATTCCTTAAGTTAATAATCAAAAAAAAAAATGCATTAAGTTAAAAAGTTTAATTAACTTAACTTAAACCCTTACTTTAACTTATTAAATTGTTACTGTACAACATTGTATTTTAATAAACTTTTGAAAAAATATTATATCTGCCTATCGTATTATGTGTAACATTCAATTTTATTAGTTATCAATTTTATTTGTTTTTATGAGTTATTAGTTAGCTTTCCAAATAATTGTTAAGTTTTTATATTATATTCAAATTTCGTTTTTGTTATTATTATAATATTTTAATAATGTCTAAAAAACATTATTTAATAATAAATGGTTTTGGTAAGATTTCAATTGTTGGCTTAAAGAAGATATAAATGATAAAATTATTTCTATTGTATTTTATTTTAATGGTTATCAAAAATTTTAATAAATAGCCTAGAAAATATGGAAGTCAAGGAATTTGTCATTTTGAAAATTGTGGCAACCATGAATTGTACTTTTTCATATTAAAATTGGTAGCCATGTATTATTTTTTGTGGCATCAAACGTTAGAAAAAAAAATTAAATTAAAAGGCTAATTTAATTTTTTTTTATTAAACTAGGTACTCCTAAAAATGTAGATACCATTTTACCGATTTGTATATCTGAAATTTGTAATTACATGAACATATTTAAGAAGTCACACCTGAATTAGTTATCATTGTCTTATACACATCTATTGTAAGAAAATAAATTATTTTCATACTAATTCTAAATTGTGCGAGTCTTGAGTGAACGCATCCTAGGTCCATAATATTTATTGACCTATTATTAAATATGTTGGGAGACATTATTTAAATAGTTCCAATTATTCTTTTTAATATTTGTGTTATGATATAAATTGTAAATATTTAAACTATCTATTTGTTTTAATCTTTTAATGCATTTTACAAAGATTAACACATATGCTATAATTTAGATAATGTTCTCTTTTATAAATTGTATAATATTGTTCAAAAATGTCTATTGTGAACACTGAGCTCTTAATGACCTATGTTGATATAAAAATATTAATTTTATATGAAACTTGGAGATATAAAGTATATTTCTCTTTAAAGCATAATTATAATTATTTTTATTATTTTTTCAATTTTTAATATGAAATAATATTTATGTTTATCAATTTTAAATTACCACTTTAAATAACAAACTTATTTATAAATGTAATATTTATTAATACCTATATATAAATTTCAAAATTTATTTTATTTTTCAGAGAAAACTCATTTGAAAAAAGCAATAATAGGATTTATTTAAGTCCATGTGAACAACATAATCCTTGGACTAGTACATTATCCAAAAATAATGCTGTTCAACCATACCATACATCTGCATCGTATGTTTTTATTTAAAAAATAATTATAAAATAGGTATGGTATACAATGATAAAATAGGTAGGGTATAATCATTGATCACATTTTTTTGATATACACACACCTCAAATATTTCCCACTTCACCTATATTTTAGTTTTTCACTTTTTATTTGCTAATATTTTCATTGCTGTACATCCAACCAACCTATAAATCAAAGTGGAAAACTATTATATAGGCTGAATATAAAGTAGATGCATACTAAACAATAATGTGACACATTGTGATTATATATATCTATTTAATCATTGTATATAGATACCTAATGTACCTAATGACTAAATTTGATTTTTTTTTTTTTTTAGGTATGAGTTATCACAGGACTTAATTGAAAAACAAATTGAATTGTTAGAAAGAAAATATGGAGGAATTAGAGCTAGACATGCAGTATTGGTTATTCAAAGGGCGTTCCGACATTATATGTTGGTAAAAAAATTTGCTCACATCACAGCAATGGCCAAAGCTGAAAAAAGACTTAGTAAACGTTTGGATGATACTCAAAGCCTGCGATCTCATGATAGTCAGATAAATATAAGGTCAGGTTCTTTAAGAGAACGTCGTTCGGGCTACTCACCTTCCAAGTGTAACTCTCTTCCGCGGTCTCGATCAGGACGATGTGATTTAAATTATTATTATAGTTTAGAATCAACGTGTTCACATTACTACACACATACTGCCCACAATTATAGCTATAATGATATGCAAATAAAGGAAGATGGTAGTTTTCAAGAAGATTTTACTAATCATCAGATGATGCCCAATTACTTATGTGGAAACCTTGGTACTAATTCGGATACCTATAGACAAGCACATTCTAGTTCCAATTGTAGTAATCAGTATGGGAACAGTATTTCATCATCCTGTATGTTTTCAGAAACTTCTTCTATAGGATACACTTCAAACATTTCCAAAAATAAAATTCCTCCAGAGGTACCAAAGCGTACTTCTTCAATATCATTTCGCCCATTAAGAGATCAACATCAACCAAGTGCATTAAATAAAATGTCAGATAGTGGTAGTATATCGAGTGTTCAATCTTCTGGTAGCGATGGTAGTATTTCTAGTCAGTCACATAATTTAAATCAAACAAATTCCTCTGTCGACTCATCTATGTTATCAAATTCTATAGTTTCTTGGAATAAAAAATCACAGGTGGGTACATTTATTTAAAATTAATGTGTGTTTTTAATTATTTTTCATGTTATAAAATTGTTTTCAGATTTCCGATGTTATTAGAAAACGTCAATATCGTATTGGTCTAAATCTTTTTAACAAGAAACCTTCGAAAGGTATTATTTACCTTGTGTGTAGAGGGTTTTTGGATAATGCTCCTCATGCAGTGGCTAGATTCTTGATATCTCGTAAAGGTTTAAGCAAACAAATGATTGGTGAATATCTAGGTGATTTACAAAATCCATTTAATGCTGCAGTTTTAGAGTAAGTGTTGATAAATTGTTTTTCACCTTGCATAATTTATTAAAATGTATTGTAAAAATTAACAAATATTTATTTTGTGGTTTTTAAATGTATTTAGGTATTTTGCTCAAGAAATAGATTTATCTGGGATGCAAATTGATGTAGCTCTACGTAAATTCCAAACATATTTTCGTATGCCTGGTGAGGCCCAAAAAATTGAAAGAATTATGGAAGTTTTCAGCCATAGATATTGTCACTGCAATAGAGATGTTGTAGCAAAGTTAAGAAACTTGGACACTGTATTTATACTGGCTTTTTCTATTATTATGCTTAACACTGATTTACATACCCCCAATTTGAAACCAGAACGGCGAATGAAACTGAATGACTTTATTAAGAATCTTAGAGGTAAATAAAAATGCCTGTACATTTTTAAGTTATTAATGCTGTTTTTAATTTTCTTTATAAGGTATTGATGATTTCTGTGACATCGATAAAGATATGCTTGTTGGAATTTATGAGAGAATTAAGGCAAATGATTTTAAACCTGGCTCAGATCATGTGACACAAGTTTTAAAAGTGCAGTCTACTATTGTAGGCAAAAAGCCAGTAAGTTGAAATGACAATTTATATTTGAAGAGTAACCGACTACTTTAGATATGAAATCTTTTACATAATATTTAATCAACAAAATCTAATTTTATGTGTCCAAAAATCTAAACTTAACATAGAAAATTAAATTATTTCAAGACTAGCTAGCTTAAATATCTAAATATATACTGACATTTAATGTATAATAATAATATGATATAAATTGAATTTGAATTGATTTCATTGGTTTTTTTTTTTTTTTTTTTAACCAAATATGAATTTTACAGAATTTAGCATTACCCCATCGTCGGTTAGTTTGTTATTGCAGACTGTATGAAGTTATTGACATTTATAAAAAAGAAAGACCCGGGGTTCACCAACGTGAGGTATTCCTCTTTAATGATCTTCTAGTTATTACCAAAATACTGTCAAAAAAGAAAAATTCAGTCACCTATACATTTCGCCAGAGTTATCCATTAAATGGTTTAACTGTTTCACTTTTCCAAATGCCACGTGAGTAATAATATACAGGGTGTTTCAAAAACTTTTATTTGATAATGAACTGATATAGTTCAGAAATCTTTTATCACAGATAGTTAAGTTTATTTTAAGTAATGTCGCTCATAAATTCTTTAATGATCAGTGAATTGCTGTTAGTTTGTTTTGAAATGGCAATCCTACAAATTTGAACATGATTTTTGAAGATCTAAAGCTTCAACTGCTCAAAGTATTTGAAAATGAATGTTCCAAGAAAGCGGTTGTTTGTGTGCACAGATATGCTCAGGTTGACCTTGTACCTCTGAGGAAAACATCAAACATGTTTGACAAAGTTTCACTCAGAGTCAACAACAGAATTCTAGAACCAGGTCTTTCTTATTCGACCTTTTAGCACTGAATTCATATAGAATACAGGTAGTACAAGCCTCCCAACCAGAAGAAAAACCAAAACGTCAATTTTTATAATTTTATTTCTGAAAAACAAGAAGATGAGACATTTGTATTGTTTTTTCTGACGAAGCCCTATTTCTTTTAAGTGTTGAAAAATCAACTGCCATAATAGGATTTGGGCTTTAGAACATCAGAGCATCAGAGGTATTCGCCAAAAATTAATGTTTTTTTGCGCAATTCCTGAAAAAATGTTTATGGGTCATTTTATTATTTTATTTTTTGGTGAAAGCAGTAAAATATTTAAACATGTTAAGAACTTGGTTGTTGCCACAGTTACATTCAAATAGTGATAATTTTGTTTTTCAACAAGATGAAGCACTGGTAGTTAGAAGTTTGCTGGTATCTGAATGGCCAACTCCTCAACAGTAAATTAACCATAATTTAGTGATTTATTTCTGGCGACCCGGACCCAGACCTCACTGTGTGTGATTACTTTTTACGGGATCTGTGTAAAAGATGAAGTTTATCTACCACCAGTAACTACAGACTTAAAAGAGCTAAAACCAGGATTACAGATGCTAATGCAAAGTTTGAGAAGAATTTGAATACCACATGATATATGTCAGGCAGTCATTGGGAGTCATATTGAATATTTATAACAAAAATAATTAAAACTTGATTATTTTAAGTATATTTTATTCTTCATTCCACCCTTATATTTTCATTTTTAAAATAAATATACATTTTTTAAATCGGGTAAAGACTTGAAACATGCTGTATATTTGACTAAAAGTTAATAAGTTGACCATTTCCTAATTAAATTAATATTTTATCAGATTATCAATTTGGTATCAAGCTTACACAGCGGTTGGATGGCCGTTTGTTGATCACATTTAATGCACGAAATGACCATGATCGCTGTAAATTTGTTGAAGACATTCGAGAATCAATATCTGAGATGGATGAAATGGAAAATTTACGAATAGAATCAGAACTAGAACGACACAGACATGGTCACAATAATTTGTAAGTAAAGAATTATACATATAGTAATGTATATGTTGCACCTACATAGTAAAATTTATCCAGATTGTAAATTTCGTTGAAAATTCATTATATGGATATCCATTTCATGAATTACTTATATTGTACAGTTTGTGTAATTATTAAAACTTATTTAACAATACATTATACTTAATTTTTAATAAACCATACAAATTATATTAATTAAAAATATTTTATTATTAATAACAATAAATGATGGATTGATCATAATAAATGATAATACGATAATACTTAATGCTGATGGTAAAAATTAATTTTATGTTGTTTTTTATACATTTTTCTATTTTATTTTATTATTTATTTTTGCACCACTACTGATTATGACAATGTTACATAGTATTTTATTTTTAAAACATGCAAACCTACTTGATTGACAAAGAGTTTTTTGCTTTGCATGAGAAAAACAAAAATCCTTGTCCTCCTAAAATGTTTGTAATCATTTCATACACTGAAAATTCTATATTTGTTTCACTTGATCAGTGGTCACAAATTTGTTGATTTGTTCAAACATTTACTATTGTATCATCCTTTAAGTAACCCATACTTTATTTCAAGTTTATACAATCTTTTTTTTGTTTCATAATCACACAATTTATGTTTTGCAGATCTTAGATCCTGTATCAACTTTCAGTACTCCTAATACAACATATTGATTAATTTCAAAACTGTCTGTTCTTTTTTGATTACCCTATTAAAAATAAATTTAAATTAAAATCTTCTGAAATGAAGAGGCCGGTTGGGAACTGGGTAGAGTGTAGATGACACATATCTAACTGTAAAACTTACCATAAAATAGGCTTTAATAGAAGAATTAGTGCATTGGGTATCGTTTATATTTAATTTTTCTTATAATAGTTAGAAAACACGTAAAAATATACATAATAATTATAGACATTTTAAATGTTCAAAAACTTTTGAACTAGTTATGGGCATTTTACATTTTCGAGTTATTATTTTGTTGATTTTATGTGGATAAAATTGTTTTGACTGAACAGATATGCTGACATACTGATATTTGTTATGACAAATTGACAATTTACCATAAGGTGTTTGGCATTCAAATTTTGATGAAAATGGTAAAATCATGGCATTTCAAAACATATGCGTAATGCTTAATACCTTACATATTATATTCTTCCTAAAATCCAAACTACAGTAGAGACACATTTGTCTGTAATATCAGCTATTATTTTTAATGTTTTTTTTATGTTATTGTTGGCAAAAACAAATTGGGGCTTAATGATTTATATTGTATCTAAATTTACTTATAATTAGTACCTATATATTATTTGTGCCTATACAAAATGATTCTTAGAACAACCCCTGATACCCATATGATTTATTAAAAATTAAATATAATGTATTGTTAAATAAGTTTTAATAATTACACAAAGTGTACAATTGTATATCATTATTGTACATATAATGAATTTTCATCAAAATTCACAATTTGGATGAATTTCACTATTTATAGATATCCAGCAAATGAGCAATGAAATGAGCAATTTCATTATGTGGATGCAACATATATATGTATCATTTTATACATTATGTCTATCATAGGTCAGTCAGTAGCAACTCACAAAACCGAGATAGTGGAGTTGACATTGATTTGGGTCCATTACCATCTCCAGTATGCAATTCCAAGCAAAATTCTGACAGTTCATTGGGGAATAACACTTCAGGACAGCAAGCAGCAACCTCAACAAGAGCTGCATTGACTGTTAATTGAACTGGTTGATAAAAAATATACATATATTTATTTATTTATTTAATAACTTATAAGCACCCACTTCTATTTTTTTCTTTATTTTTAATACGCTTAAATTTTTTCTTTTTTTTAAAATTTGACAATTTAATTTAATTTATGCATAATAAGGCCGAATAAGGCATAGTTAGTGATGTAGAACAACCCAAAACCTACTTTCCTGTATTTGTTTTGTTTTTTTTTTTCGATATTTTGTAAATATAATTAATACTATCCAAGTATTTTGAAGCCGTATTTTTAACCTTATTGTATTTTTAAAATAATCAATATTTAATTTTAATTTAATATTTTATTTAACTAATTCTGTAGCACATTATACATTTTGCAATACAATTATTTATATTCATATTTGAGTCAAAAAGTTTTAATATTTTATGCTATATTTGCTATGTTCTTGCTTTTGAATTTAACTTTTAAAAATAAATACTTCTAATATGTTCTTTTAGTTATATAAGTAATAAGTATGTGTATTTTTTTTTTTTTTTTTTTTTTTTTTTTTCATTTATATTTATGTATTGTCAAAATTAATTTTGACAATTTTTACTATAAAATTCAAAATTATATATAATAAGTACATTTTATTTTTATTTACCAAAAGTAATATTTAAAAAAATGTAATGCCAAATTGATAATTTATTAAAAATTTGATTGAGAAATATTGTTGATGAAACATAATATTTTTTCTGTTAGGAACTAGATACAAATTAATGATGGGAATAATCATAAGATTTTTCAATTTGTTAATTAAAAATAAATGTTTATTTTCTTTGTGTACTATAAAAAAAAAAAAAAACAATAATTTATATAAGTGATCCCCAATTCAACATTAGGCATAAACCACTGCTGTACATTTTCTACCATCATGGACCACTACTTAATTCCACTCCACCCTCACTTAATTCTTTATAATTTATATGTTCATATGCATCTGTTTGCCACAGCCAACCTTATGTTTATTTTGCTATGCATGTTGTTTTTCTGGTCCCGTGTTACTCCTAGATATTGAAAATCTCTTACCTATTCTATTGTGTTTAATTGGCAAAGCAATATTATTAACTGATCCGCACAGAATCATTTTTCATTAGCAATGATAATTTAGCATAGATAACTGTTAACTGTTAGGTAGATATATATTAAATTTCCTGTTTACCTTCCCAACTTCTTACCTACAAGAGTGGCCTTCCCATATGTGAAGTATGTTTATTTTTTAGACTTTGAGTATATCGAAGAATGTATTGGTTTTACAAAGATGTATATTTTTTTTTTTTTATATATATATACTGTGTAAACAAATTCCACCAGAAATCTTGCACCATTTCTAAAAGGAAACATTGTCATTATTTTGGGAGGTCATATTTTGATTTTCCAAATGGTTTTCATAATATCTAGATAAAACGTTAGAAAACTGCAAATTTAGGAAAATAATGCTTTTATTATTTTTCAATTTTATTATTTGTTGTATTTAAATTAAAAATATTTGTATAGACTTGATATTTGGACAGGAAAAGTTATATTTGCCTTTTATAGACATGATCAATTTTCAAAACATTTGAGCCAATTTTAGGCATTTAATAAAAATTGTAATATTTTTGTTGAAATTAAGTTAAAAATATTCATATCGATTTTATGGACTTTATATTTGTACAAAAACTTACATTTAGATTTTCTAGGCGTAGTAAGATTTTCAAAAAATTGTAAAATTAAATAAAAAAACGTGAAAAATCAATAAGCGTTCAATAAAAGTCTTAATTTGTGTAAAAAAAAAAAATTGAGTTTAATAAAATTTTTTTTTTTTTAAAGGAATTTTAATGTCAAATTTTGACAAAAATCTTTTAAATAAAAAATTATTTTGAAGAAGTCTAATTTTTCAATTTTTTGTTTTGAACATATGTATAACATACGCCGATTTAAAAACGATGGTGAAGTAAGAATTTAGCATACTAATATAGTTTCGAAGTTATAGCTTTTTTAAGTTCTGATATGCGGATATTATAATATGTTATGTTAAATAACAATGTATTGTCAAACTTAAAATTGTTTGTTGTAGTCTAATAGTAACACATTTTTATTGACATACTAGAGATCGCGATTTTCGAAACAAATTTTTTGCATTTTTTTCCCCTTTTACCTAAACAAGGAAAAATCAAATGCATTTTGAGTGTACTTAGAGTTCCATGCCATCGCTCGCTCGGACTATTTTAATCTCAAAATACCCCTCGATTGATGCAAACTTCTCTACCACAAATCTTGCTCCGATGTAGCTTATTTTCTGAAAGAAAATTGTATCTACATAGGACTTTAAGGAGGTAACTTTTAAATTTTTCAAGCGGTTTTCATAATATCTAAGAAAAACCGGGATAAAATGTTGGAAAAACAGAAAATGTATAAAATGTATGTATTAAAAAAATATATTATGGCCTTATTTTTTCATGCGAATAACTTTTCTACCAGCAATTTTGCTCTGATTAACAATTATAGCAATTTTTCTTAAAGGAAATATGACTGAAAAGGTACTTTAAACGGGCCATTTTTCTATTTTCCTAAGAGTTTTCCCACCAAATGTGAAAAACCGGCGAAATCGGTAACATATTATACAATTATTATTAAAGAAAATATATAATGCCTATTTAATTATTTTACCATAATATGACATATATATTATTGACAAAGCATCACCATCAATTGAAGTCTCTTCGGAATCGTTTTTTTGTTAGGAATAATTGATTACAGATAAACATTAAATTTCACTTCTACTACCTTCCCAACAACAGTCTTTTTTAGTTTATTTATTATTTTCATTTTATATAAATTAAATTTCCAACTTCTCACCTTCAATGTTGGCTGCCCCTACGAGCGAAGTATGTTCATCTTTTAGATTCTGACTAAAGCGAAGAAGCTTATGGTTTTTACAAAGATGTTTATTTTTTTTTTTGTGGGCAACTTTTCTACTCCCAATTTTACTTTAAATAATAGCAATTTTTCTGAAAAGAAACTTCACTGTGGAGGTACTATTAGAGTGGTCGTTTTCCAATTTTCTCCGGAGTTTCCATAATTTGAGTGTGATAATTTTTTTAACCTAACCTTTCTACGTTTTTTCCCGATTATTATAAAACTAATTCGAAAATCAAAAAATGACCTAAGTATTTACCAAGTAGATAAAATTGACTTTCAGAAAAAGTTGCTAAACTTATACAAGTTTTCTTGGTCAAAGTGGTCTACAGTATAAAAAAAAAAATAGATTACCATTGTAAAAAAATTTAAAAAGAAAAAAAAATCCATCCGATGATTTTGGAAATTTTACCACGTCTATGCAAGTCTCAGTGGCAGATTTACGGGGGAGGGGGGATCCAGGGGTCTGAACCCCCCAAACGCTGATATATACATATACATATATATTTATTATAGTTTATATAATGCACTATACTCAGAGTCTGATCCAGTAGGTATACGTATACGGTATAAAATATATTTATGTATTTCAAATATAAGTAGGTTGATTATCAAGAATCTACTGAAATAATAATCATAATAATATTTTACCATTTACGTTCAGTGGAGATCGGTCGTTATAGTGTGTATTTAGTGTATTCAAATAAATTGGTTATAATATAGCGCAGTTCGGTAATGCATAATTGGAAGTGCCGTAATTATTTTGCGATTTCTGTTAAAATTTGTTTTCAAAACGCTTATTAAAAAAAAAAATCGTCCAATGGTTTTCAAAATTTTACTACGTTTAGGTAAGTCCAATATAAGTGTTATTAACAAGTTTCAGGTCTCAGTGTGAATTTATAACCGAATGACAACAAAAAAACTCCCAAAAATTTAAAATCCTTAAAAGCTCAAAAGTGGCTTAAAAGATTTTGGCAATGATACCGTAAGAAAGTAAATCAAAATGGCAATAAAAAAGGTACCTTGTGATTTTTCGATCAATCATTTTTTCTTGTAGAAAACATCGTCTGTGTTTTTATAAAATAATGAAATCGTGAAATTTTATGTTTTTCTACGTTTTTTTCCACTAAAGTGCTTTTATTTGAAAATCAAAAAAAATACTTCTTTAAATTACTTATAATACAATGTATAATATTATATGTTATGTTTGTTGCGTTCTTAACTTCTCCAGAAGTGGAATAGTTGTAAAATAGTTATCGAAAAATACAAGTCTAGATTCGTTCCAAAATGGTTTTGTCAACTGCAATACAATTCTTTCTCCCAAATTAGTGTTCTCGAACTGGTTTTCTAACGTTTCGTTTTTTCCTTGGTACACCGAAAATTTCATAATATACCCGTTCTGGTCTGTAATACACCACATTTTGTAACCCCCTTTTTATGGGTTTCATTGGGTTATATTACCTTAACGTACTGCGACCCTTGAATTTAATCATAGACTCATCAACACTTAGTTCACGAGTTCCGGATGAAGACTCTCTAAACATTTGGTTCAAACTATCTATCATAGGACGTAATTTGAATAATTTGTCTTTATTGTCCTGAGGAATATTGTCATTATTATTTATGTGAATATGAGATAGTATTTTTACATATCGATTTCTTTTCATAACTTCGGAAATAGCTGGCACATTTAAATCGTATTCGTCCTCAGATTCTGGATCAACCGGAACATCCATTAATAACCATTCTTCGATATCTTGATTTTTTTTACATGCACTTATTTTTAAAAAAAATATTTGTACGATACAAATTGACGACGAAATATACGAGAAGTGCGTATATAAAACTATATTATATATTATATCGTGAACACACGACCGGCTGTTATACGACTGAGGATTACTGACGGGATATATGAGTCCCGCGACAAAAATGTTGATTATTTTCGTAAGTACTGATAATATGAAGACCAAACACATTTTATTGCATTGTTAAAAAGTATTAAAAATTAAACCCATCGTCCGTAAACAGATTATATACGCAGAATATATAAACAAAAATATCATTACTGGCAGATAAGAAAACGGTTAGGGAAACTGCTACAATGTAAATAAATTAGTCTAAAAATAAATATATTTCACTTTTTCTTTTTCAACGTGTATTAGACGGGACTCAGATGTCCCGCCAGGCCAAAACATACTAATATATAAAGGCATTTATTTTCTATTACCGATTAAAGTTTCCGGGACTCAAACGTCCCGCTAGTACTGAAAGGGTTAAAGGTCGCGAGCATTTTTTTTATAAAAGAGTTGAGTTATTTTTATTTTTATTTTTTTATATACATATATTATAATTTTATAGGCAAGATCTTTAGATCAAAAATCATCAGAAGCAAAATACAAATACATTTATATTTTTTTCAGATTAAAGAATTTAAATTTAACCACTCGATCAGTCTTTTAAATGTACACTTTTTAATAATTTTGATAAATTAACCCTCTTAACCACCCTTAAATATATTTTTTAGGGGTTGAAAATATTTTTTACTAATTCTCTATTTATTTATAAGAGAATCGTTGTACTTGTTTAATGAGTTACAATTGAAATTACACAAAATAAAATTATTTGAAATTTCGTGAAATAATAATATTTTTATATCAATTTGATATTATAAATTGATTAAAACGATATTTTAGATAATTTAAGCTGTGTATTTGATTTAAGTTATTCAAATACTAAAAAAAAAAAAATTATGGAAATAAAACAAAATATGTTCTACGTAATAAAAATAAAAATAAATTAACAAAGAAAATGTTTGTACAAAAATATATATAAATCGGTGACAATAGCAATGATGACAACAATTTCAACAACGAGAGCGAACTTGAGTTAAGTTATATAGTTTAGTTATAATATTCATATATTATTCATTAGATAATTCATATATCCCGCCGAAAGAATTAACAAGAAAAAATATTAAAAAAAAATCGTAATAACTGATAAAATATGTTTGGTGTTGATTGCACAAAGAAAAACTACAGAAACGCAATATACATTGACGGTTTTCCTTGGATCATATAACACAGAGGAAAATATAAATAATGCTATCTGGTCTGCTTCAACTATGTAACGGAGAATATTAGAAGTACGTCAAAAAGTCTCTGAAGAAATAAAAAACCATTTAGTCTTGAATCAAATTTAACAATACATTGGGACAGTAATATGTTCTAATCTTTGACTAACGAGAAAAAAGTTGATCAATTGATAATTTAAATAAAACACTTAGAGCTTGTAAGAAATTACAAGAAAAAATGGGTAAAAAGCTTTATTATTTTGCTTGTCCACGCCATATACTAGATTTCCTTTCTGGTGCAGTTTTTGATTATCTTTTTGGAGTAAGTAGTGTGGAGTAAGTAGCCAAATATTACATCGTTCCAAAAGTTCAGCGTGGCTTGGAATACTTTGGATCATGGAATTTATCATAGCGCAATGCAAGACCCGACTATTTCATATCATCTAACAGCGGTTAGATGACATGAAATAGTTATTTATTTTTAACTCAGGTAACAGTTATCCATATTTCATCCACATAATGATTATAAAGAATTACTACAGTTGATGCTGTTATTTCTTGGAGAAAAAACTACTGAAAATCCAATAGTAATATATGCTCCAAGAGCTTATCACCGGGCTAGGTGAATGGCGAAAATAATTTAAAGTTTAAAAATATACATTTTCAGAAATCAGCTCCAACTAAAAACAAAAAAAAAAAAATGGTTTCCGCCAATTCAATATTTTCATAGCTTGAGTTTATTTAAAAAATTGGTACACTTGTCAGAGTCCAATTCTGGCACCATTAAATTACTTAACGTTGATGAAAGATCTTCTGCAATACAACAATGTCAACAAGAAAATAGCTGAACTTGCGTTTAAATAATTTTCTGGCCAATTGCGGTATTTGAGTGAGTTACTTTCGGGATTATTATTGTTTGATTCTCGTTTATAAGTAGAAGAAATGAGAGAAATAACTGTTGCAGCTATAAACCGAAAAGGTACAGTTGATAAAGCTCATCGAATTAAAATAGACAAAAATATTATTTTAAACAAGCAGTTATTTGATTTTGTTAGCGAAGACAGTATTTCAATTTGTACAACAAATAATAATTCTGTAAAATTCACGAAAAAAGATCCAAGTAGTTGGGAGAATGATCCAGAATTTATTGAAGCTAAGAGGACAGTCAAAAGTTGGAATATAGTCAATGATTTGGCGGAACGAGTTATTGCATTGACGTAAGATTTCAATCCAGTTTTTACAAAACAAGAAAGTCAAAAACAATATTTACTACAAATTGTAGAAATGCATTAAACAAAAATACCACAAGCGAAAAAATGGATAATAAAAAAATTAAAAATTATAATTATTTCAAAATTAATATATAAAATTGTTAGATTCTCTATGAATAACAATATTTGTTCTGGTATGTGTTAAAAATAAAAAAAAATTTTAATTTTTTAATCTTGCACCTTTATTTTTCTTCATATTATTTATTCCATAATAATATTAATAATTGTTAGTTATCTATTATGTGATAATGATTAGAGTTATTATTTATTAGCATAGTTATTATTTTATTTGTTATATATTTAATTATTTCTTTTCACTTTGTAAACGTGCATATGTATACCATATTCTTTATAAATAATTTTCTTCCGTATAATTTCAAGTGTAACCATTCTCTTGGAAACTAAATGGAGAATTAGTAAACAACTTTTCCAACCCCTAAAAAATATATTTAAGGGTGAGTAAAAGGGTTGATTTATCAAAATTATTAAAAAAAAATGTATATTTGAAAGCCTTAACGAGTGGTAAAATTTAGATTATTTAATCTGAAAAAAACACAAGTGTATTTGTATTTTTCTTCTGATAATATTTGATCTAAAAATCTTTCTTTTAAAAGTATTATTTATATACATAAAAAAATGAAAACAAAAAACTCATCTTTATCCATAAAAACGATGCTCGTGAACTTTAAAAATCTGAAAAAAAAATTTGGGAATATTATTAAGCTCTTAGGAGTTCAATATCACGAGAAGAAGAATATCTGATAAAAAAATAAATTCTGAAACACCCTATTGTACAACATAATACTTTGGGTAATTACATTACGCTTAACTACATTTAAACCAGGAGACTCGGTACCAATTCACTTTCCATTTAATGAGATAGGGAAATCTCTAAAACTCGCTTCCAAATATAAAGACCTTTTCAAAATAGTAGACAAAGTAAATGATCTAAATTATGATGTTAAATTAATACTCAACAATAAAACATCCAATGACATAATTCATGTCAGAAGAATGAAACGACATATTCGTAGATAAAAAAAAAATAAAAGAAAAAGATTAGTAATAATAATAGGTAGATAAGCAAAAATTAAACAACTAATCTATTTGAAAATTTACCGTATATTATAAAATTAAGAATTAATCTCATAATTATTACTAATGCTTTATCACTTAATATGCCAATTAAATTTTCTGTTATACAATTTTTTTTTTTACATATACAATATCATCAATTATCAACATTAATCATTACATTTAAACATTATTATTTAATACATTATTTTTTTTTTTTATCTTATAAGTATATAAATGAAAATATTACGAAATATTACATTCTAAAATTAATTTCCCACAGCTTATAAATATACGCCTACCATATTTTATTTTATATTTTTATTCGTGTGCTATATGCTGTGCACAATTTGCAAGTATCATAAAAACCTGCTGTAATAATCTCCTTATCCTCGAAGAAGGGGATACAAAATGACTCGTTGTTGAGGTGTGGTATATGTTCTTCATCTTTCTTCTTTTCAAACTCTTTGAAAATATTTACATTTTCATTTATTTCTTGTTCAAACTTTATAACCTCTTTTATAAAATTCATCATTTAAAAGTTTTGTCTTTTTTTTCTTGCTGTTCTTTTTAAGTACAAAGCTGTAATAAATACAATAAAACAAAATTACTCACCTGAATGTTACAGAGAAATGTCACCATTTGGATGATCTTAACATTAGCCATGAATTTTGAATAGTGTTTAATTATTTGTTTTTAACTAAATTATTTTATCATTACTCAGTTTAACGTGATTAAAATTTAAGCCAACAAAAAATGTTTAACTGTTTAAGGTGTTAACTTTTTCCGTAATTTGTTTTCTAGAACATTTAAGAACCAAGCTATTCAACAATTTTATATTTATGTTATTTTTTGTTACTCTTATTTTGGGTGGTAAAACCACTACCTACTTTTGATTTTCAAATGGAAACCTACTAAGTAAGACCATAAATAGATTGAATGCTTGTTAAAATAAATTTAATTGTTGACATTTTTGATTTCTTACCATAGCCGTTCACATTGCGACGTAGTAAATTACCTATTATTGTGCTGCAGTAAATCCCATACTTTATGTCGTATAATATGATATATAATCAGGAAGCGAGGCGACGCCCGTAACAATGCTTACTAATGGACAACTTCTCCTTAACCACAACGGACTATGGCGGCGGTGGTGGCGTTGGAAGTCACTAGTGTAGGTGGCGAAGATCGGAGGTATAGTCATGGAAGCACGAGTAACTATTATTGATAAAAATACCATAGCTGAAATAGTTGATATAATAACGAAAAAATGTGATACGGGAAAAAATTTACCTGCTTTCCGAATGACGCGAAATCAAAGAGTCGAGGCGTCTGCCGATAGAACACTGGATAGCGCGCGAACGGCCGACGGGACCGAAAGAAAAAACAATTATTGGAACGCAGTGCCGTCGACTAAAGATGGCTGCGGCGGCTGCGAATACGACACTTGTATTGTAGAAACGACTGTGGAGACGACACTGTCCTGTATCAACGACGAAGTGTTGACGTGGTAAGTCGCGATGGTCACGCAGTTTGCACGGCGGACGGCGGATTCGTCCGTTACGACGTTTGTACCCCACCACCGGGTTGTCGTCGTCCTGCGACGCCGACAGTGGATGTAGGGGCCGTCGTTTAATACGCTCCGGTTGCGAGGAACGGTGGCAGTACAGTGGGGGTCACGGCGGTGGCAGCTGGACGTCGACAACACTAGTTTGTAGTATTTCCATTAAAATTCCTTTTAGAGAGGAAAAAAAAAAAAAAAACCCTCCGACCGTAATCTGAAATCCGTGAGATTTACGGCCCCTGCAGACCGACGTGCAAAAAAACCGTCGCATAACGCCCCCTCCTTGGAAAACCGTATGGGAATCTATTTATCTAATTAATATATTGGATATTATATTTAGTAAATAAACACAACCTAACAAGTGTTGTAGAATTTTTGATTCCAATAAGCCATAAGCATTACACTCATAACATACGAAAATTATGCTTTTAAAAAAATTATTTTTAAAATGTTTGTGTTAAATTAATTGAAAATAATAAGTATATAATAATAATAATAATAATATAATTATTTATGTTTTTTTTTTTAAATTACAGCAGGGTTGCTTATCCTTCTAAAGATTTTAGACTCTAAGTGGAGCGAAGAAGTTTATAGTTTTACAAAGATGTTTATTTTTCTTTATTTTTTATCTGTGCACAACTTTTCTACCAGAAGACTTGCTCGGATTTCTAAATGTAACACCTTTTCTGAAAGGAAATCGATATGGGGTACGGTACTTTAAAGCAGGAACTGAGACCTTAATGGTTTTAACGGTTCCGATTAGGGTTCAGGTTTTTAAAAATTTTTATTAGGGGTTTAGGTTAAATTTCGGTTTTTAAGGAAGTTCAAAATTTTAGGTTTTGATTAGAACCTGTTTAACCGGTATCTAATTTTTTTTTTGGTCTTTTTTTTTGAAACAAAATATGTCAAAACATGTATACAGTATGTGAAAGAATGGCCCTCGGCCGTGTAGAGAGGGTAGGTCAACTCGGACATTTGTCCTAGGGCCCCTGCGAATTTTAGGTTCCCGTACTTACGTTATGAAATCTAACTAATTAGTTAAATTGAAAAAAAATATACATCGTTAAGTGTTAGTCTTAAGATCATATTTATTTTTCTTTATTTTGCTTTTTAATAAAATTACATTAGAGATAATTAATCATAACTATTATTTACTTATCATAATAAAACAGTACTTCGGTTTTATTTTTTATTTAAAACGGTGTTATTGAATAAATTACCTAGTATACAAATTATAATTTGTATACTAGGAATTTTATTATAGCCTAATCAATAATTAATGATAAGGCTATAATAAAATATATTAAATACATGTGGAGGTAGTACAATAATACAATGAAAACATGGGGTCATATGGTAAAATGTACAGTGGTATTTTACCCTAATTAGGTTAAATCGAAAAAAAAGGAAAGAAGTGATTTTTTTCCTTTATCCTTTCATTTAGGAACCAACTGTGAAAGCTTAAATACGATACATGTTCTGTATGTAGTGCGTACTGTGTAGGTTTATATTAAAAATTTCAAAAACCCAATATCATTTTAAAAATAACTTTTAAATTTGTTCACACAAATGATCAGTTATTGATGTTATCGTGTCGTGTAACATATACATTTATATAATATATTATATTATGGGTCGATTGACCGTTCTCGTCAACCGTCACGAGCGCTGACATACGACCAACGTTGCCAGAAATAACATTACATGGGTACTATAAATAAAATATAATAATTCATGTTTCTAAATTAACAAAAAATATATATTTAGTTTAAAGAATAATTAGTTTCTACCTTATTATTTTAAAACAGAAAACCCGGTATTTTTTTGATTTTGTGTTGGGATTTCGGTTTTGGTTAGGGTCTTTTATAAATGTAAAGACAGGTTACGGTTATTTTCGGTTCTTTAATTTATACAAGGTTTTAGTTTACATAACTGGTTCATTTCAGTCCGGTCTCAGTCCCTGCTTTACAGAGATCATTTTTCAATTTTCTCAGGAGTTTTCTCATCAAATTTGAAAACCCAAAATAAAAACGGGTAAATAAGAACTTTGGGTATTAGTTAAAATATATTACGGGCCTTCTTTTTTTCAATGAACAACTTTTCTACCAATTATGATCCAATTTTTAATGATAGCAATGTTTCCAAAAAGAAACTTCACTAACGAGATACTTTAGACAGTTCATATTTCGATTTTCCAAAAAGCTTTCTCAACAAATGTGAAAAACCGGGATAAAACATAAGAAAACTGGGAAAATCGGCACAACATTAAACAAATATGATTAAAGAAAACATATAAAGCTTATTTAATTATTTTACTATAACATAGCATATAAATTGTTGACAAAAAATCACTATCAACTGAACTCCGCTCAAAATCGTTTTTTCGTAATCAATGGTTTATTGTTGTTTACAGGTATACATTAAATTATCTATAACAGTAGCTGCACCCGTCCTCATTATCCTAGAGCGTCTTTTTATTTTTATTTATGTTCGATTCTCCCCCCCCCAAATGGATTTTTTAGGCATGTACATATAATATAAAAAAAATAAAATTTTTTATTTTCCCCCTACAAATCACTAAAAAAAACTACATATTTATGTGTTCACTTATCAAAATATTTTTTAGTACAATTTTTTTTCAGTATATAAAACATTAGTAATGTAGCAAAGTATATTTGTCTTGGATGTGTAACGCCGTTCAACCGACAAAATAGTTCCAAAAACTGAAAACTGGCACGTGACGGTATTCTATACCTACCCAAATTGTGTGTTATCAACCCTATTTAAGAGGACGCTACACAATATGCATTTGTTGTTTCCGTCCTACAAACATTGCAAGATATAGTTAAAACATACTTACGCAGATTACATAGAACTCGTTTGATCTTAGTTTTAGAGTAAAAACACCTATTATAAAACTAAAAGTAAACAATATTCTAGAGAACAAGGCGTTGCGATTTGTCCATTATCTCCGAACATAACAGTCAATTTACCGTTTAGAAATAACGATTCTTTCAACATTTTTTAATTCGCTATAACTTTTGAGAAAAAAATTATTTTTCGTTTTCAAAAAATTACAACGTTTTGCCCATTAGAATATTCTATATTAATTTTATAATAGGTGCTTTTACTCTAAAATCAAAATTAAGCGAGTTTTGTGTAGTCTGTGTAAGCATTTTTTTACTATATTGTGTGTTGGTAAAACGGGAACACCAAATGCTTTATGCGTAGCGTCCTTTTAAAAGAGTTGGAATTTCAATTTTTGTTTTAAAATATAACAATATCGATATTTGTATCGATGCACATAGTTCAAATATTTTAAAGGGCTTAAACATCCAAAATGCTGATTATGCATAGTTAGTATTTAATTGTTAAATAATTGATTTGTGGGAATTGAGCTAAATCCCGCAAGACTACCGCATATTTATGACACCGACCTACCTACCATTGACCTACCCACCTATGACAATGGGTATAATCAAAACGAACAATTTAGAGATATTTAAATATAAATTTGAAAGGACATCATGACTTGTTCAATTGCAATTTCATAAACTGATTGAATTAACACGCTACCTTATTAACTAAACTCGTTTTTCTATGGTTTTGCATTGTGAAAACAAACAAATAGCACCGATTTAAAAATTTGACTAAGTCATAAATATAATGATAAAAAGACGGTAAACAATAAAGAGGCGTAATTTTGGCGCTTTGCGTATGTTCTTGACAAGAATCATAGATGAAGTTTGAGTTCGAATACATTTCGGTGTTGACATATTTAATTTCCGTATATCCGTTGATGAGGTATTCCAGTTTTATGTTTGAATAAGGGGATTATTGTGGTAGAGTACTATTCAAATGCCACGAACCGTGGCTGCGCAGTCACACTAATTATTTTCCCCATACCCAAATTTAAAGGTAGTGGTTGGGTTGTGGTGCCATCAGAAGACATCCAAGTCACCACGAGTATTTTAAACTGAATTACAGCAAAAATTAAATGGAATTTCTACTTAGCTATTAAATATGATGTATACACATTATAATAATACACACGTTGTCGTAATTTGACGTCGTGATAGTACGTTTGCATATGCCCATCGAAAATTACTCAACATCGGTACCAGGAGCGCATGTAGAAACGACGTCACCCTGCCGCCGCCGCTCCGTCGCCGACGGTATAATATTGTCGGCCAAGGTGTAGTAGTGTACGTAGTGCTGGTGCGGGGGTTATTTCTATCGCGACGTTGATGGTCGGGCGAGTGGCGGTGTCAGTGTAGCCGAGAAAATTTAGACGACTATGGTAAGGGGTATAGGTACTAGGAGCACATGCGGAATGCACGCGAATTAGACTTTTACGTTGAAACACCGAGCGGTCCATTCAAGCGGCCACAATCGGGATTTCAAAAAAATAACTAATTTGTGTGCGTTGCTCCGTTACTCCTTCAGCCACGGCACTACGTTGCATAATGTTTAATAATTGTCTATAAAAAATGTTTTAGCATTCTTTTTTTCTCATTGATTTTAATTGCATTTTAAAATTTTTACAGAACACTATGTAAAATCTAAAATATCTCGACAATCTCAAATCATAAGTTATAATGTAGCTCGTAAAACATTAATAGTGTAAACAAGTTTAAATACAAAACTAAAATAATGTGGATTAGAAATAAAATAAATTATTATTAATAATAATTTTCGCGTTCGTTTGTTGCCTCGGTGACGAAGAGGAAAAATAAAACATTAATTTGATCTGAAGTACAATTTACATAGTTTTCATTATTATTAGCAATAATGTTTATGTTAAAGGAATTATAACATTTACAAAAAAAGAGTTGATACTGTGGTAGGGTGTTCAACTGTTGCAGGTGGGAAGTTGGGAAGGTAGAATTCGTAAAGCTATTTAATTTGTATTTGAAAGCAACGATAAACCATTGCTAACGAAAAACGATT